ACCATTAAATACATATTGGTTAATTGCTCAAGTCTCATGTCATTCAAAAGTAAAACCACGTGTGAAGTATATTGTTTATCCCTCTGTCTAAATGTATAAAGTCTATGGTCTAAACAGTGTGGAAAATGTATTCAGTCACAAAATACTGAATCCTGCATTAGAAAGTATTTTGTGACGTATTCCAGTAATAACAGTAGTGCATTCTTCTCCCTCGTTTAAATATATATTATACCCTTGAATGAATCCTAAATTACATAATCAAAAGAAACAATGTATTCCTCTAATATTCTTAATACCACCAAAAGATAAGATAGAAATTTGGATGTCACATTGAGGCATAGATAGAATCACTCAGATTGTGCAAAAGACAGATGTGTGCAAAGATGTTAAGGTTAAAAATAAAGTCTGTGCAGGATATAATTATGTACAATAAAAAAGTGGCAATAGCAGTGCTGGTTCTTCAGTCCTAGAGCAGGTCATTAGTGACTTTTAGTGATTTAGGCATATTCATAATTGAGTACAAGAAAGAGTAAATATGAGTATTGCTGGCTCTATAGCAAAGGGATTCATTAAACCGACTCTATAAACACAAACTCAAAATGACATAGGGTGTCGTGGGTAAAGTAAAGCAATTATATTTCAATGTGCAAAAGGAAAAGTCTTGCATGTCAGGATATAATATCCTCCATACTCACCCCTGCATGATCAGAGACTATAGGGATCGTATTTAACCTGTTTATACAAAGACGACGCAACAAAGGGGCGTTTAATAACACATTTATTGAATTAAAACAATGAATGAGCTCATCTGATCCAGTGGACTGGCCTGTCCAATAGACCTCTATGACCGCTGTCGACACCCGTGTGCTCCACATCAGCGCCGTGAGTGAGCAGCGCAGGCAAGGCAGTAGATTGCGCAGTCATCTCCACTAGGGGTAATATGACTACCCGACCAACAGCACAAACTACTACCTCAGTCCGCGCCAGACTCTGTGCGTTTAAGACCCCGTCCTCTGGTCCCGCGCGTCTGCACAAGTCCTCTGGTTGCAGATCCCGCCCGTGCGTAAAAGCGCATGGGGAATGTGTGCGTAAAACGTGGCTGCTGCAAGACGAGGCACACCCCACCCTGAGCATGTGAATGAGGAAGACTACACCTCGTGGGTATACCTTTCTCCATTCACCTCTGCTGAAGCCCGTGTTCTCAAATGACCCCGGACACAAACGGTTTTACACAAATCACAACACATTTTGGAGTATCGCAGTATGACGATACTCCAAAACAAGTAATTAAACAGACATGAAATATAACACTGAGGCTTTCAAACTTTTAAATTCATATAATGTACACTTTCGAGAGGCAATTGAAACGATCGACTACAATGGTTACATGCTACATATGATAGTATTCGGAAATAAAAGCGATTACTTAAAAGTGCCAAGACAAATCCAGCGCCCCTCAGACAGCGTTCACCTTGGAGCTCAACTGCTGCAGACTATTTTAGATCCTATTGTTGTCTAGCTCTTCCCGTGGTTCTGCTCCTATGGTTCAAACTTCAGCCCTCTCCAAATAAATGGCTTGTTAAAAAAAAAAAACGGAACCAAAAACATCCAGCGAGTCCCCAGCACTGGTCCTGAGCGCCTGGTGTCCGCTGCTGGCGACCATAGTATGCGCTGTGATGAGTGGATGTGAAGGAGCCGCGTGGATAAAATTCGCGGGGAACGTCAGGACTGGGTTGGATATCAGCAAAGATTGGAGGAAAACACGATGCACCACTCTGGACGAGAAACTCTGCAACCGGAACACGTGCGCCATCAGCTGGCCACTCTTGACAATACATCTACCAAGAGTGACCAATGTTGTACTGTCATTCACACCTACGACACACATCGGAACAGAACTCAGGACCCCAGCACGCGTGTTGGCCAGCGTGACATTGGACCTGCACAGGTCACTTGGTGTGGTGTATTATTGGCCCTGGTCGTAGTCTGCCGTTTTGCAGATAGTTTATCCATGCGGTGATTATATGCATGGGTCATCTGTGACCGCTGAGGACTCCTCAGCGGTCACAGATGACCCATGCATAGAGGAGTGAGCCACTGTCCCATATGCTCGCTCTCTGCGCACAGGGGGCGCTGAGGTAACCTCTCCAGCTGTGCAGACCCCGTTATTATTATAGATCCATGGTGCAGACTGGAAACCACACAACTCAGAGAACACAGTGTTCCAGTCGGATCTTCTCCCATATTTAACATTGGGGTTTGGTCACAGCCCCCACTGAAAGATCAAGGCTATGCTCTCACTCAGAGAGCAGCCGTCCTCCTGTGGACTCACCACCTGCAGAGGGTCAGTGAGGGGCTGGTGCTATGAGACTTGGGTGGCATCTCTGATAGCCACCCCCTTGACCCAGAAATGGATTAAAGGGTAGAAAATGGATGGATGGATGGATGGGTTTGGTCACAGTCCTGGCCTGGTTTAAAACAGTTATTTAGAAATGAGCAAAACTGTAAATAAAACAAGATAGGTTTCGAAAACTATGTAGTTCAATTCAATCTCATTTCTATGTTTCTTCCAGGAAGTGTATTGTATAGAACCTTGACTAACAATACATCTACACATTCTTTATCTGAACAGTGCTTATTTGAACAATATTCTGTAAATAGCAGCTCTGAGTGACAGCTTTGGGCCAAGAGCTGATTGGCTGGTGCAGCCTGGGCAGTGTATTTGTGGGTGTGAAAAGTTACACTGGTTGTGCTCGTGGCCAAATACCCATGCATGTGAATACTTATCTTGTATTATTGTGCATTAGCCTTTGTCCCCACAGGGGAAGGTGTCTGTTTTTTTTTTTTAAGAGTTTGATGTGTAAAACAGAAGTGGACCCAACTCCAAATAAGGATGGGCTTTTCACACGATATCCATGCGTTTATTCGAGGGGGATATACCCATGGGTCAAACTCAGTATGACCTCGGTAGATTTGAAATCTTACAGAAGAGATTGAGTTCTTATGTCCAACACAAAGATGAAACCATTACATAATCATCATATATGAATATCATTTTTATTGTCAAATTAAAAAGTTTTGCCTAGCTCAGAGTAGATATGCCAATGCACAGACAGCAATAAGAAGTGACACACAGTGACTGTGCCAGCAAAGTGATACACAACTTTATTGAAGATTGTGTATTGATACACATGCACATCTCATATGTAAACCCAAGTGAACTCAAGTGTAGCCAAACTGGCAAGCCCAGTATGTCATGTCATGCACAAGGAAGTCATAGTCTGATATTTATCTTTGTTTTTTTCATTTTTTTCTTTTTTACAAAAAGTCCAAAAACAAACAGAACAATCCTTTTGTTAAAAATATGACATCCCTGACAGAGCCACACATTTACCTCAACATTTCTGGTCTTGTCGAAGGTTTAAATATGACTATTATTAAATGCTTACATATAAATAAATAAACTTTATCAAATGTGCACTCACAGAGTGAACTCTTATGTACAATATTGTTTAAGCCTATAGTAGCAGTCCACAGTCCCCACACGAGGGGGTGAGTTCCTCAAAGCCAAAGCTGTGATCTCAGTTGAGCACAGTACTACCTCAAAATCATGCCAGACCTACCCCTCAGCGAGTCACCCCCAGCCCCCATCTCCACACCCCCCCAGACCCTTGTACATGTTACCCTTTCAGCAGTACCTAATGTTTCATACAGCTAATATCAAAGGCAAGAGCACATTCCCACCACATTCAAAGACAACAAGATTTTAAAAAGGCATGAACCACATAATGGTTAACAGGTCAGTGAGTCGATGGAGATACATTCCGGCCCTCTTGTGGATAAAGCAATGACGAAGCAGCAAGACAGTCACACAAGTCGAACATGGACAGTCCTACACAGCTGTTGGGCGTGAGGGAAGAGGCCATGCAGGAAATGTGCCAACATGTCTGAAGTCGTTTATGTATTTCAAAAGGCGACCGCTTTGAGATTGAGATTAAGATTTAAGGCTGAGGTGATGCAAATTTGAAACAATCCAAGCAAATTCATAATCAATATTCCTAATCCCAACAGTTCCTCTAAAGAACACGAGAAAGGGAGAATAGCTAATGAAAAACGTTATAAAAAAGCGAATAACTTAGCAAGGTGTCTCCATATGACAAAAAACAAAGAAGCTTATGATGTCATAGATTGAGTTGGGAAAGTCAAGTTTCTGTGGTAGCATCAGGACCTCTTTAAAGTAATTCCGGGAGCAAAAGGAACGTGGATGAGAAAGTAAAACCAAATGCTATAAAAATGGCGTCAGCAATAATAACAGAACAGAAGCAGCAGTACAAGGCTAAGCTAAGACAGCCGAGCTCTTTGTCATTTAGCGATATGAAATTAAGTTATTACTGGCATATAAAAAGTCTTAACCTTCCGTTGTGCGAGTGTGAATGAGGAACTCCACTAAGACAAGAGCTAATAAAAAACAAAACAAAAACAAATGCAGTTTCTCTGGCAAAAAAATACATAAAACATGGATGGTTGTCATTTATAAGAGTTCGCTAAAGCCCACCATGAAAGCTCATCAGAATTTAAAATATATACACGTTTAAATTATGATAAAATGATCCATCGCTATCAAAACTATATATAAAAAAAAAGTATCGGGAAGCCACACCAAATCTGATAAATCTTCAAAATATTGTATAAATAATAATTCCTGTTGTTGATCAGTGACTGTTCAGAGCAAAACTTAAAATCGACTCAAACTAAATCGACTTAGCCATTCACTCACGTTCACACACACACACACACACACACAAACAGTGATCCAACCACAGAGGGCCCTGATTCGTTAGCGCCATGTACCCCCGACCAATCAGTGAGCACCCCCCGCCTCCACTGCAGCCAATCGTAAGCCGCGGCGTGGGTCTCCGTGCGCCTGCCGCTGGCCGCCACGATATATCTATATGGCTTTGAAAGGAAAGAGCCCAGTCTCTCTTCCCGTGTGGGTAGTCTCAGTTGATTTTCATGCTGACGTCTCGATTGGGTACTTCTTCCTCCTCTTCCTCCTCCTCCTCTTCGTCATCCGCCTGCTGGTCATTGTCATTGTCATTGCTGCCGTTGCGATTCTCATTCAAGTCTTCTTCGTCGCTCTGGGCGGCTGTAGCAGTGCACGGGGTCTCTTGAGGGTCCGGCGAGGGGGCGTTCTTCCGCTCTGGCGCGTCGCCGCACTCTCCGATGTTAGACTCGCCGTTGTCCTCCCCCTCTTCTTCTTCCTCCGGTTCTCGATCCAGAGCAAAGAACCCCGTGCCTTTGACCGTGTCCTTTCGCTGGTAGAACAAGACGTAGCCCGCTTTGGACTGCAAATGCAAAACACCAGTAGATTAAAACATTGTCATGACAGTAAAATATCTGCAGCATATTCTAGGTAAGTAAGTAAGTAAGTAAGCTTTATTTATATACCGCCTTTCACAGACCAGAGTCACAAAGCGGTTTACAATTGTTATTTTTGGACACTTGTCCTCTCACTCCACACAGAGATGGGAGCGGGGTCGCCGAACAGGAGGCGCATGCCAGACCTATTGTACATATTTTTAGTGGTAGGGGAAACCGGAGTACCCGGAGGAAACCTACGCAGACACGGGGAGAACATGCAAACTCCACTCAGAAAGGCCCTGGTCCGGCCGGGATTCGAACCCAGGACCTTCTTGCTGAGAGGCAAGAGTGCTATCCACTCAGCCACCGTGCCGCCCTAAGTGGACAATACAAGTATCTGTACAATCTTAATCAGGGGTTGGGCTTTCACGTTTCACATTTATTAATAAAGAACTTGAACGTCAATTAGTTCATATTATGTTTCATGAACGGCAGACATCACTATGAACGTTGGAATCTGTTTTCTCTTTTGAAACGCAACGAGAGAAAGTTCCTCCCTCCTGTATTCTCTGCACTGTTTCCGCCGAAAACTAAAAATTCCCACGGTTTTCACCGTCTGTGAACGCACCCCGACTCCGTGTTGAGCCAGCCGGTGCGGCGCTGTGAGCTGGTGCTTTTCTTTGGTTGTTGGACTCACATGTGCCCGAGTTGTGATGATAACACAGGGTGAGTCAGCGACACAGGACCACCCGTTTACATTTGACACAAAGTATAGACACACGCACTGCAGCGCATTACTGTCTGTAGTACTTATGAGCAGTGGCAACTCAGTTTTTTCCTCCTAATGTAAATCTTGTCTGTTATAGAGTCAAAAGGCTCTCATCCTGTGCGGTGTATAAATTAAAGGATTTAATGAAAAAAATATTTATTTAAATATCTCACGAAAAAAGTAAAATGAACTGAACTTTGAACTAGTTCAGAATTAAAAATGTGAACTTTGAACATGAACTGTTCACTTTGAGCATGTAAGAACTGAACTTGAACTAGTTCAGAAAAGCTGTGAATTGGCACAACACTGTCAAAACAATAAATTCTAGATGAATTTAATGTCACCAAAACAAGACCCGCTCCGTCTCAGTGCATTGGGAATTGTGGGAGAGTTCAACCAGAACGTGTGATATCTGAGTTGTTACACCCATACTATTAAAATGATCTGTTAAAAATATCATAATCCAATTACTGCACTACACTCACACATGCAGACACAGCTGACGGCACAGCAGGAGGCTGTTAATGATTCTCAAATGGCCACGAGTGCAAATAAAGCGTGCCGCCTTTGATGCATGAAGAGATGGAAGGTTATCTACATAAACACTCACCACTATTTGATCATCTCCGGCCGGCGATACGCTGCTGTCGTCAAAGTTGTACCACTTTCCATCATCTTTGTTCTTGGCATATGCAGTATCTGAGGACATCATTTGCAGATATTAAACACTCATTTGGCGTTGGGGTTGTCTCATTCGACACGTTCAAAGATTCAGAAGATAAAGATGGGTAGAGCTATGCTTGCAATGTAACTACCATCATGTTATAATCTGATATTTTTGAGATGTTATGTTATGTCATACATGTTTTCAGTAATCATTACACGAGACAATTTACATGAACGTGCCTTTTTAGTCAGAAAAAAAAAAAGAACACTCACAATGGCCCCCACCCATCCCTCCGTAGTGGTTGGAGACAGCAATGAGGTCGTAGACACAGGGCCCAGTATTAGGGTTTATGAGGAACTCTGACATGTCCAAATCTCTGCAAATAACAAATATATGTTACATTTTAAATATTGAAAGTGAAATGCTGCCTTTAGAGCATAAACTGGGCAGTAAATTCATGAAATACAGTTTTATTCATCATACTATGTAAAACAACCACAGAAGATTAGATTGAGAGCATTTAGAAACATAGATGCACACAGATCCCTGATCAATACAGGAGTTGTAATGTGAAACCACGCCTGAATTCAATCCCAGAACCTTAAATCTAGATTTACACCAACATGCTTTATATGTAGGTTATAATGTAAGACATTTACACATTTTCTGGAACTTAAGACACCCCTGATATTCTATTTTGGTCCATATTAAAAGGGGCGGACAGTACAGGGGCCTGACAGAAGAGAAATGAGGTATGGAAAGGCGGGAGCAGCTGATCCTGCAGAAACATCACAGGTCTTACTCACACGTGTAGCTTCTCATTTATGTGCTCAAAGATAAATGCCACACAGGCGTCTCAAGTTAACTGTGAGTAGTTAAGCTATGAGGTTAAATCTTTGGATTTACTGTAACTAAAACTGGACCAATTATAAAGTTAAAACATTGCTTATATTTATTAATTCAACTTCTAATGATTGTTGGATTACAATTTTAGAATAAAGTAACATGCCTTGGTAGCACATAACCATTAAAGCCAAATTTGAGTTTGACATACCTGCTATAGATGATCTATTCTTTCTACTTATTAAGTATTGCATAGTTGGATGAATAGAATATTTGGTCAAAATAATGGACCTGAAACAGTACTCTGGTGGTAACTGTATGGAAATGTTGTACATGAGGCTACAGTCTACCTGTGAGGGATAAAAACCTAGAGAAACAGAATCCATTACGTTTTAATTTGTGTAATTTTGCATTGTGTTCATACCTTAGCGGGAAGTCGACCAGAGAGTCCAGTTTGTCCCTCATGTACCGACTGTAAGAAAACCGCTTTAGATGAACCACCAACACAGGAGGCAGAGACCAGAGATCGAGCTTCTTTGTGGCCTGCTGGTGCTCTTTACAGTTCGGACAGTACCTGCCAAAATCACGCTTATATTTTCAGTCTGTCATCATCAATAACGTACATCTCTCACACATGCAGCCAATGATCCGCACCATGGGTCATCTGCTCCCAACTTCTCCTTCGTCGTAAACAGTTCGATGCAGTCCTTTAATTTAAAGAAGGCTTTCTTCTGCGGCTTGTAGTCCATGCTTTCATGCTTGTCGTAATCCTGCAGAGAGACAGAACAAAAAGGATTGTATGAGATCAGGGACAATAGAAAACACTTTTCTTTCTTTTTTTTTTTTTAAACAAAGACAAGACTAAAAAACAAAGGGAAAAAAGTACTGTAACAAACTGAGAATGTTAAATGTTACATGAGACTACAAGGCAAGTGATTTATTTATATAGCGCATTTTCTGTGTAGGTCCTGTGGTGTGTGGCATATTTGTTGAACCTCATGATCATGACCCAATCTTCTAGTCCGAGCTACCTCTGAGTGAAACCTGCCCTCCACAATCGCAGCCACTTTGTGTGTTTTTGTTGTTTTATTATACAATTTATTCATTGGTTCATTTATATATGAAGAAAAAACACACACATTTTTATTAAAAGACACACACATTTCATTAAAAGATTGCACAGTGGTTAGTACGGTAATATTGTATTTTTATAATGGGAGTAAATGATTAGACCTAAAAGAAAATCAACAAATCAGATGAGTTATTGACTGTGATGCGACGAACAGACTTTACCTCAACAACAGTTTCATCAAAATATTTCTTTTTCATGTCCTGTTCCCAATCCAAGGAAAGATACGAACGGTCTGTAGAGAGAATGACCAAATATAAATGCAACAAAAATGAGATGGCACATTAGTAATCATTCATACTCACCACCACAGAAGGCCACTTATTGCCCATGCTTTGTTAAATACAATTGTGGATTCATTTTCAAAAACATGTGGCAGATTCACTCACCGCTGAGTCGTAGATGCCCCTCGTCGAAGCGGATTTGCCTGGTGTCGTCTTTTATGAGCGTGAAGTCGGTTTTGCCCATGTTATTGAACTGGAATGTAAAGAGTCTTTTTCGGTTGTGTCCGGTGGTCTGTTGGTCTTTCGTAGAGTTCTGTTGACCGACGATCCCGTTCTCCAATTCGTTGTCTCCGGCCGCCGAGTCCTCTGATTGGCTGTTGTCGTTTTCAGAGGGCAGCTCCTGATCCTGGCTCGATTCATCGTCCTGCTCGTCCGTCTCCATCTCACCTGGAATTCATACAAGCAAGAATGTCGTTTTTAGACAATAATCCAAACATTATATGATCTGAACTTTAAAGATGACGTAACAACATTTGAAACCGTACTAAATTCACTACGTAATAAAATCCATATAGCACTTTCCTCACTCTCAAAACTGTTACATAACTAGATTTCAGGCATGTATTTTTGGCCTCTTTCACTGAAAATCTGATCTAAAGATGAAATGAGAATTTGAAACACAATACGCTGCTTCTTAAAATTAAATTCTCTGTTGGGACAAAACTAACTATTAATGAAACAAAAGTTAGTTTCTCCAGCAATAACACTAGGACTCCCAGAATTATGAAACTACAAGAACTCCCGCCGTCATTTTGACTGCACTGCTTTTCAAACCAAAAGAATAGTTTTTTTGCCTTAACAAAAGTGAGTTACGTTACTAAGACTGGTGAATAAAACTTTGGAAGCCTTTCAAGAAACTGTTTTTTCTTTATTTCAAAGTGCTAACTGCTAGCAATAAACAGTGTGTTGCTATGGTATCTACAGTAACCAACTGCTCACGTTTCAGAATTAAAAGAAAGTTACAAGGTTAGTGTTTGGCTCTCGCTTCACAGCAAGTAGGTCCTGAGTTCGAATCCCGTTTGGAACAGGGCCTTTCTGAGTGGAGTTTGTATGTTCTTCCCATGACTACGCAAGTTTCCTCCGAGTGCTCCGGTTTCCCTTACCACTAAAAACATGCACACTAGGTAAAATCCTCCAGCTCTAGTAGTCCAGACCAAGCCAAGCATCAACATGTGGAGATGAGTTCCCGGACGCAGTATTGCGGCGACCACTGCTCCTGGCTGCAAATGTTATATCTGACCAAGCAGGTCAGATATAACTCCTCCTATTTCCTCAAATCTTCACCCTGTAGATCCATGGATAAGACTGACTTCACTTGAGGAAATGGGTGGAGTCTGCACTGCTCCTGCTGGGTCTGATAGAAAGTCTGCAGCCACAGCGGCCCTTTCTGGACACTCTTGCCTTAGCGGCATCAGGATGGGTCAAATGTAGAGGAGGAATTGCCCTTCGGGGATTCATAAAGTGCACCTTTACCTTTATGGCCACAAATGCACATACGCCGAGCAATTACACTTTAAACTTTAAAAGCCATCAACTTGACTGCTCTGGGAGTGTTAATACAATGAGATAGTATTAATTAGCGCATTTTATTTCTCTAATTTTATTTGTCAAAGATACTTACAGTAGAAATTCAACATTTCAGGGAATTGTTTTACTTGAATACATAGCTACTTCTACGACAAATGTTTAACTAACCCACTGTACACATACTTGGTGAGCCCTCTTCTAACACTCCGTTTGTTGTATTTCCATTGACTGTGTGAGGTTTTGAGGTTTGTGTTTCTTCACACTTTTCCTCCTCTTCTTCCTCCTCCTCTACAGACGATCGTACAAAGCGACTGCAAACAGAAAACCCATATACTTTTGTCAATGGCATCTTTTAATGAGGTGTGTGACGCCTTACTGCGCTCTCGTCAACATTATCGCATCAGGAAAAGAAAACTAAATGAGTTTGTTGGTACCAGAGGCGTTGGAGCAGCATGTTATACAGCTTGTCTTCGCTGAGAGTTCTCGGGACTGCGAGGAGGAACGGCTGTCCAAACAGTGGCGTGCTGGTGTGGTTGTAGCCCGACTGCTTGTACTTCTCCCTCAAGTGCACTGGGATCACCACATGATCCGTGTCTTCAACCCTGTTCACTGCGATTTCAAATCTATAAGAAAGCAAAATGTCCATTTTTTTGCAAACAATAACCATCAGCACAAGTAGTAGCTGACAGTATTCTCTTTTAAATCACTTAACCTCATAAATAATAATAAATAAATAATTGTTGTTGATTAGCATGGCTAGCGCAATGTGCTAGCGCTGAATGATTGACGTGTCTAAGTAGCCAATAAAAAGAGCTTTCTTTTGATGGGTGGGACTTGTAGGAACTCTTTTCATTTTCACAGTAAAAGCGTGCGTAAAGACGATGTTAGTACTGCTGCTCATATTTTATATGCATTTACACTACTAAAAAAATAAATTTGAAAAATGTAAAAGGAAATCACACAGATTTGTAACTCATAAGTACCAAAACTAAAAAAAATGCTTTTTATGATGGTGAAATGTTAGTAAAGCAGTTTGACACAATTTGGCACACATTTTGCCAAATTGGTTCCGAATGGCACTAGTTGATAAAAAAGAGAAACTGCATAAAAACTACAAAACTTAGAAGTCTGAAACTTTACACAGTTGTTGTCAACAACACTGAACAAATTAGCGTTGAACATTTTCTTCTTCCAATGAAGTAGGCTTTTTTAGGGCATTTATACATTGAATTTTTTAGGCGAGGCTAAAAAAAAAAAACAGGTTTTTTTCCCAAACTTCAAAGGATGCAGAGTGAAATAGGAATGACATACATTATTTCAGTGTAGATTTACATGATGCATCACACAAGCATGTGAGATGTAAGATGTGTTTTTAAATAAGCAAAGACATTTGGGTATGGCAAACTTTTGTGCACGAGCCAAAACAGATGTAGGAGTTTAAGAGGTTAAAACCTTTTATCAAACCGCATTCCTTTACCCGTCTGCTGTACACGTCAAATGTTGTATATTACTATTCCACATTGACTCGTCTTTCTTGCTGTGTGCCTTAATCTTTTTGATATTTTATTTTATGACCGTTTATTCACTTTTTGAAAAGTGCTATACAAGATGAAATAATAGTGATAATAATGATGATTACATAGTTATAACATTAATATTATGTATTATACTAATTAATAATATCACAGGTGTTTGAATAAAAAACAAAATTAAAAATCATAAAATTATAATTATTGGCAAAACATACTTGAAACATGTTTTAGAGTTTATTCTCTTTTGGAAATTGTAACCGCATTAAGAGAAACAGACAACTTACACATAGATGTCATCTCGCTCCATTATGCTGCTCAGGTTTTCATTTGTGGCAAAAATGCGGTGGAAGCGATGATTGTAGATATCGGTTACAATCATCTGCAACACAAAAGCAGGCACAATATGTACTCTACTCTACTTTTAAATGTTCAGTTACAAGTATTATTTACCTTTTCAGCAGGCACTCCAGATAGGTTTGAAAGAGAGGTACTAAGATCAGAGATGTATCCCACTTTTGGCACGGTTAGCTTATACTGGAAACAGGTTACTCTTATTAATACGTTTAAACCACAATTAGGTTCACGTAAAGAAGGAAATAGAAACTTTACCTGTGTGGGTTTGGCCAGAGGGTCCAGTCTAACCAGATAAACCTCTATTGTACGCTCCTTTTTCATAGGTAATGGCAACGTCAAGTAGCAGAAAGGATCAAAGGTCACGGAGACCTTGGCACAAACCGGACACACCAACGTGGATTTGAAAAGCCCATGAAAAATGTCCACTATAATCGAGTCATTTCTCTTGATGTGGTTTTCCCAAGCCTCCTCAGCAACAACCTGCAACAGCCAGACGGCGTCAACTACACTGACATTAACTGATATTATTGGGAGAAAACAAGAGTAAAGCTTTCACCTTATCGAGCCTGCCGTTGGCATCTTTGAGCTGTATGTAGGGCTTCTTCCGAATGCGGTTTAGGTCTTCGTGAAGGCCGTCAAGTAAAAACGCCAGAAGCTCATGGGAGTCCTGCTGCTGGTACCCAGAAAACTGTGGGGCAAAGCGTCCCACTTGTGTCTGAAGAGAAAAGAAGCGCATGCAGTTTTCTATTTAATTATACATTTCTCATGACATTAATGAGGAACATTATTGTTGATGAACAAAAATACCTTGAAAGGCCTTGGTGTGACATAGCTGTATTTGCCTGACCACAGCTGTTTGATCATGTCAGCGTATGACCGTGCTATCTCCCCCTTCATGCCCAATGGATTGTCCTCATTCAATTCATCCACATACTTATCTCTGAGGAAGTACTCGGTCAGGGGCTGGATATTGCTTAAACACTAAAGTTAAAAAACAACAAACATTGATTGACAATGTAATTTGACAGACATAATGAAACTGATTCTTTATCCTTATGGTACTGGCTATATACAGTAGTAGGTGTGAATAGCTTTACCTGCACAGCAGAGTTCATGAAGCAGGTGTTACCCAGGTTGGAGAGTCCACAGAGGCCTGAGCGTTCACTTTGTCTGGACTGGTCTGCATAGTCGTAGTTGTTACTGTACGGATGGTATGATGGGAGGTTATAGCTCGAGTTTTTCACACTAAAAAGAAGACAGATTAAACACAAAATAATTACATTGTTTTCGACCCTTTACTATAACATGAAACGTGTGCATCATCTGATTTGGTTAATAGCAGCACTGACAGTGCTCCTTTTCAAACAAAACATAGGTTTTCACGGAGTTGAGCAGCAGACCTCTGAGAGTGTGGTATGGTATTGCTGCTTGGAGCAGGCTCCCATTGGTCGATGGTAGTGGAGGCAGCAGGCTCACAGCTGAGCACACGATCCACTCTCCTGTTATCCAGCTCCACTGTCTCTGGCCTCAGGCACCACCAACAGCACAGGAGCATGACATCTCAGCCCCGCCCCGGCCCCTGCCCAAATCATGTCCTTTGAAAACCCCTCCTACTGCCTCAAAAACAATGCAGGCACATACACAGAGTGTACTTCAAATGTTGGCAAAGTAAGTCCAGGTGGAGAAATTCTGTTGTATCAAGTCAGCAGAGTAAATCCAGAAGCAGATGAAGACATGTTCAGGCCTCAACTCGACTTTCAAGCCCAGAGCTGTTCAAATACTGATCAAACTAAACTACCAGTACCTCTGCCTTTGAACATTCAGTCAACTCCAGAGTTCACTTCGTCATCTCCACTGTTCCTTCTTTCCCGTCATTCTAGGCTGGCTCTGTCCTGCACCACTCCATCCTCGGGTCCTTTTCCTTATGGCCTGCCTGCTGCTCTCTGGCTACAGGCGGATATTTATAGCAGCATCAGCAGCAGTAAGGATGCTCAAGACTACGCTACCAAAGCTAGAGGTGTGCGGAAAGTGAGAGGGAGGAGAGAGAGCAGGGGGAGGGGTGGACAGTACCGGGGGGCTGACGGAAGAGAAATGAGGTAGGGAAGGCGGGAGCAGCTGATTCACTGCATACAGCTGATCCTGCAGTAACCACACAGGCCTTACTCACACGTGTAGTTTCTCATTTGTCTGCCTCAACATAAAGGCCACACAGGAGTCTCATAAGACCAGGGCCATGCCACTTCCTGTTCTTAATCCTCCTTCAGCATGTGCACAACTCTTTTTGCAGTCATCTTCAAGGGCTCTTGAAGCAGTGACCTTGATATTGCACTGTTTTCATCAGAGAGATTACACATGAACAGAGGCAACAGCAGACTACATTTCCTGAAGGGCAGTGATGAACATGTGCATTACAATGAGCTCTGATAGAGCAGCAGCAGAGAGGGGAGAGAAGGGAAAAGAGGGGAGAGAGGGGAGACCAGGGAGAGAGGGGAGAGAGGGAAGGACATCTCCACCTGCCTGAATTGAAGGATCAGGTTGTACCCAAAAAACCTATGACTGTTATAAACCTGAAAGGCACCATGTCAAAACTGCAAAATAAAAGTGTTATGTAATGCATGAGATGCTTTGTTGGAAAGACTGGCCATGCATAATTCAGGGGAACTGTGCAATGATGACACTACAGATTCAAGAACAAGAGAGTCAGGGTAAACTATTCACATTGTCTATTTAACAAAGTCTTCATCTAGTCAATATGAAACTTAACTGATATGGTAATTTGCACAACTGAATGTGGCTCACCAAATGGCTTTGTGTTTTAGCTTTAGGATTAGAGTTCTGCTAGAAAGCACAAAGAGCAGCATGCAGTAAAACACACCCATTTTGAGGAGAAAATCAGTAAAGGCAACCACAGCAAAGCTCCACCCTCTATCAGCAGCACTGTCCGGCACAGAACCCCCAGGTGTCCCCGACTCAACAATGATGCAATACCAGTATTCAAAATTAACACATCAGCTGTAGAGTTCCCAAAAACACACACACATAACAGAAGTGTTCCAGGGCATAGCCGTTTTGGATTTTTTTTTTAACTGATGCAGCTATTACCTTGGAGATTCTGCTTTGCTGATAACCAATTTTATCCCTTTAACCTTCTCATTGAGGTGAAGGTTAAACCCCATTGAGGACGAAAAAAAAACAATGAAAACACAAAAGTGAGCTGACAATCTTTTTCTTTTCAATCTCAGATAATTGGGTCAAAACTCATTATCCCAAAATGCTATCACACAAATCTAACAATTTATTTTGTGCGGGCAGCCAATGGATGCACCGATGCAAGTTGTCTGAAGGATGTTACTAGATGTTAGAAAGGCCACTGTGGTTGCAGGTTTTGTATCAGACCAAGCACAGGAGCAAAACAGACTCCTCCAATTTCCTCAAGTCTTCAGGTTAAGACTGAACTCTTAAAAAGGTACACATCTGAAATAAATTATTATGCCCTGACGAAGACTGCTTGGTCGAAACGCGTAGGCAGTCCATTTTAATAAAGGACTCTTACATTTTTTTCACTTCAACAGAGTGCCTCAAACTCCTTTTTTTGACTTCTCGATCACCACACTACGATCAAGTAAAAATAAAATCCTATTAGATTGCCTCGTCTTTGAAGAGCACCTGTTTGTCAAGCCTTCTACCACTCGAACCCTCTGCAGCACTCACCTTTCTTGCTTTAAACTAAGACTGAACTGAAGTCTGCTCTCCTCTGGATTTGATCTGATAGAAAACCTGCAACGACTGGTCTAAGCTGCAACATGCTACATATACATGTATATTAGCAGACCATAAGTAGGCTGATGATTTATATGGAAAAATGTGAAATCTCGACCATTTACCAACGTCTCACAAGACTTAAATATTGTCCCGTTCCCTAAATCACGAGTCTTGAATTCTGTGACCCATGCAAAGTTGAACAGCAGAAACAAGGGGGAACAGGCAGATTGTTGAACTCTGCGTCTCCAGCTTTTTTACAGCTTAAACAGCACAATTATGACGAGGCTTCACACGGTGCAACAGCCAGAGATAAACTACACACAAGTGATCTTTTTCAGCTAGTGATCTTTTGAATACGTACTAAATAATTATGAGTTATACGTTTTAATTTAATTTTGGTCAGAACAAAAGTGCCTATAGGTTCTGCTACAATCTAGTACTTTAGGAGGACGTTTAAACCTCTGGCTGTTTATGCAAAGCCCCGCCTCCTTTTACATTTCCAACTACAACTATGCCTTACTTCCTGCTGTTGAAGCTGCTGTTATGATTGTTTGTGAGAGATGAAGGCGAGATCTTTGGCAAAGCAGAGAGATTGGAAGCACCAGATGACCTTCAAAAAGATAAAGAATAGATTATGAGTTAGAGTTGAAAGTAAGAAGCTCATCCAGAAGCAAAAGCCATTTCGAATTTAAATCAAAAAGATGAAAGTCGATAGGATGTGTCAGAGCAACAAAAGGTCAGGCAAAATGTGCGAAACAGCAATCAAATCTTGGGAAGGAGCGAATGAGTAGGTGCGTTGGAGAGAACGTCATAGTAATGCATGAGTTGTAACTGTATAATAATCAAATATACTTTTATACTTTTTATAACTACAGATAAGGAACTGACGATACAAAGTCCCCACTACAAAGATAAGACGCAATGCCACATTGACTCACTTAGGCGCGGTTGAGCCCCGAGGCCATGAGCCGTCGTCGTTCTTCTGTTCTATAACAAGAACCTGTGAACAAAAGCACGTTAACTGCAGTAAAAGTAAAGTAAAACAAAATGGGCTTTTTAAAATTAAAATAAAAACAAAAATCACATAGTCCCTCTGTGGTGTTGTCGAGCAGGGATAACCACGACCGAAGTTATTAGTTTCATAAAATCTAATGTTTGAGAAATATCACATTCTTTAGCCAATGTTAGATGTTTATTCAGTATTTGGGTGTTATTAATTTTTCCACACGGCAACTTGTAAACATTGAGGTAAATGTACTTCTTTTTACTATTTCTTCATTTTTCTGTCATCCGTCTTTGGCCGAGCCCTAGCCACCGTCTTAACCAATGTATTTATATAGCAAATTTCATACAAGACTGTATTCCAATGTGCTTAACAAGGACAGCACAACAACAACAAAAATCACGACAGCTATGCTATTTAGCCAACAATAAATACATTAAAGTGAAGGTCAGTTTCTTTTCAAGTTGTGAACCAGGAGAGACCTTCGATTGCAACCGCCACCTAAAACCCGCCCCCGCAGTTTCACGATTGGAAGAAATGAATTAAAATCCTTGCTAGACAGCGAAGGCACGGCACCATTGATGAAACTATTCTTCTCCAGGAAATGTTACTGGTACTGAGGCTAATTCTGAAAGGAGATACTACTTAAAAATATTCAGTATTATTATAGAAAGTATACTACAGGATCATATGGTAAAAATGTATGTACTACTTTTCAAAATAAGGGGCGACAGTAGCTCAGTTGGTAGAGCAGTGGCCTTTGAGCCTGGAGGTCGTGAGTTCGATTCCCACCATGGGAACTACTCCAACTGCTCCCACTGATGTCAACTGTTGTTGTGTCCTTGGGCAAGACACTTAACCCCACATTGCCTGAAGCCCCCACTGAAAGACCAAGGCTGTTTCACCACTGACAGAGCAGCCATCTTCCTGTGGACTCACCCCCTGCAGAGGATCAGCGAGGGACTGGTGCTATGAGCATTGGGTGGCAGCTCTCATTGCCACCCCCCTGACCCAGAAATGGATAATAAAGGGCTTGAAAATGAATGAATGAATACTTTTCAAAATGAAATACACTAATTTAATTATTGTTTGCGTTCTTCTGCGTGATAAAAAACGTGCATATTTGAAAATACCATCTTAAACTGTATCAACAGTTACAGTTTCCCTCATTCCATCTCCCTCATTCATTTTTGCACTACATGTGTTCCTTGTTGAGTAAAAAAGGGGGACTTTGCTGACCTGTCCTTGGTAAAGCCCCGCGTCCTGGATGGTGCTGTCCGGTTTATTGAGAGGCTCAAAGGTGTTGCTCATATACCTGTTCCAGAGCCTTGTTTCCTTCTCATCTGGGATGCTAAACAGCTTTCTCATCTCTTTCTCAATCATGTCTAAAAAAAGGAAAGAAAGGAAAAGTCATACACGCAAAAACACAAGTCAAATTTTATAATGAGTTGTATGTATGATGTAGGCCAAGTGCTTAAATTATAGTATATACTGTATATTAAAACATATATTTTGGTCTTAATCTAGCTTTAGTACGGTTTAAAAAAATAGACTGCGTTTTCACTGAAAGTTTTAATTTGTCAGGTACATTTTGCATCCCCATAACTAAAGCATTATGAGCATGAATTCAGGGAACATTTTGAGAACACTTTCTCCATAACCCTAACCCTAACACCCGTGGTATGGCTCACCTCCCAATTGTAATCATATGTTCATTTTACCATTTCCCAGCTTAACTAAACATTGTTTGAAAAATCCAATCAAGGTCTGAGGGAGGACACAGGTTGAATTAAGAGCAATCCAGTCAATTAACACAATAAATGACTTTAAAAGTAAATCAGCAGCTCTGCACTGGATTTAAAATGTTGATTACTGGGTTGCATTGCTAGAAATTATTTCATATTTTTTAGGGTCCCCATGACAATAATTTGAGAACCCCTGCAGCAGGTAGCGATAACACCTTTCGTCCAATATCACTGCTGCTCAGCTTGTCAATCATATGCTATGTTCACTATGGAACCTGAGAGCCTTTGCCTCGAGGTACAAGCAATCACACGACCACATGCTGATGATGGAAAGGTATAATGGAAGTGACCATACCATATAAGTTACGTAATATTGGTCATATTATATATACATGTACAATATTAATGTCTTCACTAGTGTTAATTAACCTTAGCCCCTCAGCATGTTCAATTGTATGAATGATATGGGATTACCTATTGTGTCAGCTTTACTGAAGCGTCTGGTGATCACATTGTCCATGTTACTGTCTTCACACAGTTTAAGCTCTGTTAGGTACACTTCAACCTTACAGTGCTTCACAAACATACCCTGTTCCACCACCTTTAAAGAGAACAAAACAGTATGTAAAAAAAAATAAAACAATCAAATCACTGCATCTGAAATCCCTGCAGTTTTATATAAAATAATAATTGTCACTTTTTAGACTTTCTAAAGTCAGATTTGATTCCACTTTAATTAACTCCAAACTCTAGTAAAAACGAAAATAGCCACGGCTGTCTTGGTGTAGATCGATGGAAGAGAGGCTGCCAATGTGAAATTGGCTTCTCTGTCCACCACTCACTCACCAGATTCACAGGGCATTGCGGGTGCCTTTCCTTAGGACACAATGACAGCCACAACAGTCCTTCTGTGACACTGAGACCAGTGGTCTTCCATCAAAGTACTAACCAGATCTGATATGTGACATCATCATGAATAACTATTGCGTATATTTTCTCACCACAAGTAGGTAACATGAATAATTGGATCATACAGTAGTGAGTGAATGCCTGGTGAATCTGGTTTCAGTTGTGAGTAGATAAAAAGTCAAGTATATCGTTTTGATGTAGTGTTGGCCATTGGCGTCCTGGTAGGAGTTGAGTCAGAGTGACGCGCCTAATTTAGCAGCACTTTGCACAAACAGCTGAGGGGTCCCAGCCTATTTATTACACTGCCGAGACTTTACCACACAGCACACAGACGCAAATACACCAACATCAAAAAGTTAGAGATAGGAACACACATTGGTCCTCTATACCCCCTTCAGTACTTACACCCAAAACAAAACTTAGTTTTCTTATCATACCACTGTCCACAATACTGAGTTTGAAAGTTATGATCAATGGAAACAAACATATGTATTGTAAAACAAAAACTGTCCTGTCTCTGCCACATGTTGTCTCACTCCACTGAGAAGATTTCAGACTGTCAACTCTCATTGTGACCTCAGCCGGCATTCCTCCACTTAAAAAAATAAGGCCATGCTGAACACTCCTCCGACAGTCAAAGATGAGGACAAGCCGGCAGCTATAATCCATTTGCTAATCCATTTTTTTCAGCTTGTGTTCCACTACATAAGGATGACAAAAGGCCAAAAAAGGAAAACAAATAATGAACCTCCTGCATGTTGTGTCTTGCAGATCCCTCCATGTAGCTTTTCAGTCATCTAGAACGATGCCTGAAAATAGAAACCCGGCAGCCACCCGATACGTCCCACTACATACAAGGCAAAAAGGGAGGGCCCAACAAACCAGTGCAAAGGAACAAGGGAAAGACTGACTGAAGTAGAGGGGGCAAGAGGACTTCAACCAAGCAGCCATGATGCCATGACTAATGGAATTATTGTATACTGCACTGTATATCCAGTAGCTTCTATACAACTTAAAAAAATATATGTATTCTGATTTACAAAATATTCTTAATTCATAATAACAAACATCTGAGCATAAATCCAACCAAAATGAGCTTTTTTGTTCATGCAGCACATGTGATTATAAAACAAACATATTTTTCATGCACCATCTAATATTATTGTGAGTTTCACAGAATAAAATTTAAGCTTTACTTACATACCTTACGCTCTATTGGCTTCTGAGCATCAGTCAGCCCATACCAGCTGATGAGTTTATTCCAACCCTCGGTTGGAACTAGGATGTAGTCAAGTTCATCAATGAGATGCTCTTTGATGGCCAGTACATCCCCATCTAAAAGGTAAAACAAAGTGAACTGAGGTATGGTATGAAAACAATAAATCTTCCAACAGATAGGTCATGCTATTATACATCCATGGGTTGACCAGCACTGTTCTCCATAGGAGAAACAACAAACGCCAAATGGTATGCTGGAGAGTTTTCCATGAGCTTAAAAGGCTCATCTATACAATAAGTTGACAATGTATTCTTTGTTTACTTCTCTTTCAGACTTCTAGATTTTTTACAGGTGTGAAAGAAAAAGCAACCCTCTTGTTAGTGAATGTATATCTCATAGCAATGTATAGATTAAAACTGGCTTACCTCTGAGAAGACCAGAGTTGTCAACTGGCCCTGGGTAGACGTTCTGGTCACCCATCTGGTACTTGTCCCAACTATCAAATCCCACATATTTCTTCCACTGCTTGAACCAATGACTATCGATCAAATACCTACAAAAATACCAGAATCAGCAATACTGACTATTTTATTCACTGTCACCTCTGTAAACGTACCCATGATCACTTCTAATACAAATGGAAATACATTAATCGTTAAAACAGAAAAAGCTGTTTGAGGCCAAGAAGCCGCCTGCCGAGTCAGCAGGCTGTGATTTTGACAGGTGCTTCTTTGCAGACGCCGCCCTAAACCCACTGGCAAGCCTAAATATCCAACCTGCTGCTAGCCAATTAGCCAGTTAGCAATCTAAACGAAACCAAGTATTTTAGATTGAATTACAGCCAGAACAATAAACCGGAGTTGCATTTAGGACATATGTGTGTGCGACGGCCTCAAGGGGTGCAAGTCACACAGCCACCCGTGACAATGTTTACCATGATCTACGTTAGTAAAATGCCAGCTTCTAAACTCGTGAAGCTGACTGTGCTGTGTTAGCATTAATGAAGCTAACTGTCAACACGGCCCTTAGCCGAGACTTTTTTTTATTTCAAACCAATGACAACTTGATACAAGATAATCGATGGATGGATAGATTGTTTAGGGAAGTGCTTGATCAAGTCTTACCAAGTGTCCCCTTTCCTTAGCTGTGTTTTTAAGAATGCCGTGATCTCTCCTCTCTGAGTATCCAGATCAGCCGCTCCTCCTTCCGCCATCTTTACTCAGGCATCTCACGGTGCATTCTGGGAAAGTTACCGCCTTCACCCACGTGACCCCGGAAGTGTCACCACGCTCGGTGTTAGTGTTGTGGTCTGATGTCTAATATTTACAGTCTACGCTGTGGTAAAAGCTGGTACATTCATGGATTAAAGTGATGATTGAAGTTTCACAAAAATAGGGTTAGTTCTTAATGTTAACCATGATTAATGAGTGCTCAATAATGTGCGGCTACAGTACTCCGTAATCAAAACTAACGTTAAACACTGTTAGCTTAGCATATTATACAAAAATGGAAGCTACAATGACTGAGAGCTATAAATTCGTTGTTGTCGGAGGTGGTATCGCTGGTGTAACATGTGTTGAACAGGTAAACGGAACTAAGGCACATTTGTTTCTTCTGCTGAAACTAGACAAGTCTCATACAAAAAGTGATAATCTTTTGTGACAGCTGGCGTCACAGTTTCCATCTGCACATATCGCTTTGATCACCCCAGGTCCACACATCAAAACTGTGACAAATTACAAACAGGTATGTTTTACTGTTACTCACAGGAACAGGTTTTAAAGGTATTGATGATGGCTATCTTGTAAAACATATATCTGCTCATTCTGCACCAGGTGTCTCGGACTATGGAAGAGTTTGGTGTGGAAGAACGACCATTTACAGTATTAGAGGAGAAATATTCCAATCTCAAATTTCTTCAGTCAGCTGTCAAAACTCTACATGCAAAATCACATGTAAGTTTTTTGCCATCTGCTGCCATCTTGTGGATATGCGTGCAAAAATAACACAGTTTAATGCTATTGCCTTTTTGTTGTTTCAGTGTTTGGAGACTACAGATGGCAAAGTGTATGGCTATGAAATGCTTTGTATTTGTAGTGGAGCCAGGCCAAAGCTTTTTATCGATGACAACCCATATGTACTGGGAATAAGAGACACTGATAGTGCACAGGTAGGCTATATTTATAATGATAATATATGTTCATTTTTATTCCATCGTGTTTTCCGCACATGCAAGAGGCAATTATTCACAAATTTAAAACATAGCCTATTACAATGTTGGTTGATGACTACAATAGTGATTTTGGAAACACTTCTTTTTAAAGTAAGTATTAGAGCAGCAACAGCAACTTGAATCTGTTTTTATGTTTTATGTAGGAATTCCAGAAGAGGCTTTCCAAAGCAAAACGAATTGTCGTCGTTGGAAACGGAGGCATTGCCCTTGAATTGGTGTATGTGTGATATAAATGAAGGCTGTTGAGAAATATGTTCATTATCTAAATTACAAACTTAGGTTTGCATGGTGTAATGCTTTTTAAACTTCATACAGACATGAAGTTGGAGGCTGTGAAGTGATATGGGTAATAAAGGACACATCTATAGGAAATACCTTCTTTGATTCTGGAGCTGCACAGTTTCTAATCTCATCACTAGAGGCAGAAAAAGCCCACAAACCTTTTCCCTGTAAGAGGCCTCGTTACACAGTTGAAGAATCAGCGGGAGGCACATCTCACACCTTCACTGCAGGTTGTATAAAAAATACATGATATCATTGTCTGTGTCCGGTAATGTTTTTATTCTTATTTATGGTGTTGCCTTTTACAGAGAGAAACCATAGACAAACCTCCACTCCAACAGAGCATGGTAGTGCTCTTGGCCCAGACTGGCATGAAGGAATTAATCTACAAGGCACTGAACAGGTTAAACTTTATTTAGTAGGTCTCGAATTATTCATGGTAACTTAATCAAGTCCTCATTTACAAAAAAGTCTTGATTACAATTTTATGAAGTGATACCTGAAATTTCCCCACAGTGGGATGAATGAAGGATCTCTTAAACTTAATCTTGTGAAACGGTATAAATATTATTATTTGGTTTGAGTATGGACAGATACAGAACATAGACAAACTGTCATACCGCTCAGCTTAGCATCCACCTGCACCACAACAAGATGTGTTCACCTACAGACAGATTTCCATGTTTACTTTTCTATTTTTATGTCATTTCCTTTTAATAAAGTTAGTAGTATTTGGGATCAACAGGAGCCAACACTGCTGATATGAAGTATATTTGAATACATGTGTGGGCTGAGCCACTGTTCTCATCACATCCTAAAAACACCCCGGCTCACATCACAGTACTAAAGAGGCACTGCCCTGCTTAGCTACTGAGATCTGATGGGATCAGGCTTTCACATGCATTTGTAGCCACAATAAAGGATCATTTGTTGGAAGAAAAGATTCTCTATTGATCAAAGATCCAATCCAATGCATAATTATCCAAAGATAATGATACATAATGGCTTGACTACTAAAATGATCGACTGTTGCAGCCTTAATATTTTGTATATACGTGTTTTGAACCTGTCTTTTATGTGCGTCTGTATATTGCTCTAGACTCAGGGACACCACAAAGTAATGGTCGAATATGAGTGTGAAGTCCAAAAAATCTCCACCTCCACTGACCTGCTCAGTTCTTCTGACTTGAACCCTGAAACTGGTGAGCATTTTGGAAGTATAATATTATATTGTTTTATATTATTTGCTTGATTGATATACTTTTCTTTATAGTTGGATCATGGCCAGTTTATATTAAATTGAGTAATGGCAAGATATATGGTTGTGACTTTATAGTGAGTGCAACTGGTGTTGAGCCAAACACAGAGCCTTTTCTTCATGGTAATAATGTAAGTAAAGTACTAAGCTTAATTCAACACAGCACACATTATGTACAAAGTGTTTTCTGTTATTCTGTTTTATAAGAAATGCATTTTGTTGAATTTTAGGTTGCACAGTTTAAAGTCTATTGTTTCACTTTTAGACTGTGCAGTTTGTTCAGTGTTATGATTGATAAAGTATTGTTTGGTTAATCCCAGTGATCAATGTTCTTAGTTTGCTTTAGCTAGTGACTGCGGCCTTCAGGTTAATGACCAGATGCGGACTTCAGAACCCGACGTCTATGCTGCTGGAGATGTCTGTACAGCTGGCTGGAAACACAGTCCACAATGGCAACAGGTAATGATAAAGACTTTTTTGATGATTCAGTGATATGAATCAAAATGGGTATTTTTTTATATTATTTCACTGTCATTTTGCTATGATATTCATATTATAATGGCTTTGTAAAAGTGAAAATGTTCAGTCCCATTTACTACTTGTAAAGTGGCTCTCAAAAGTGCTATTACTTTTAACTGCTGCACATTAGGTCATGTTTACTGCCTTAAACATAGATTTTATTTTGTTTTTTACTGCAAGTTCACACACAAGTAACAGACAATTGTGAAGTGAAAGCAAAAATGAAACATGATTTTATTATTATTTTGAAAATAGATTAAATAGAAATGGAACGTGATAGTGTGCATCTCACAACGTCTTCCTGTTGCTCCCATTGTGACGTAAATTTTCGCACACATCTCTTTTGCATTTGCATACTTCCACAGCCTATACTCTCCTTGCTTGTGTTACACCTTTTTTGTGAGCCCCCAGGCGCAGGGGAAATTTGTCGCTCCAGGGCCAAAGGGATTCGTTTACTACGGGGGATCACTTCCTTCTCTTCTGACCCTCGCTGTCACAGTGTGATGCTATTCCTATAACATTTCAAACTGTTACTCAAGAGTCACACTTTATTTTGAGGCCAAAACACACAAACATTCACTTGTATCCTGCCTGCCTCCGGTCGCTCTGCTCGTACACTTTTCATTCTCATTCATTCATTTCTCAGCGCTTAGAACAGAAGGTAGTTACAGTGCCTTGCGAAGGTATTCGGCCCCCTTGAACCTTTCAACATTTCGCCACATTTCAGGCTTCAAACATAAAGATATAAAAATATTTTTTTTTTGTCAAGAATCAACAACAAGTGGGACACATTCGTGAAGTGGAACGAAATTTATTGGATAATTTAAACTTTTTTAACAAATAAAAAACTGAAAAGTGGGGCGTGCAATATTATTCGGCCCCCTTGCGCTAATACTTTGTAGCGCCACCTTTTGCTGCAATTACAGCTGCAAGTCGCTTGGGGTATGTCTCTATCAGTTTTGCACATTGAGAGACTGGAATTCTGGCCCATTCTTCCTTAAAAAACAGCTCGAGCTCAGTGAGGTTGGCTGGAGAGCGTTTGTGAACAGCAGTCTTCAGCTCTTTCCACAGATTCTCGATTGGATTCAGGTCTGGACTTTGACTTGGCCATTCTAACACCTGGATGCGTCTATTTGTGAACCATTCCATTGTAGATTTGGCTTTATGTTTTGGATCATTGTCCTGTTGGAAGATAAATCTCCGTCCCAGTCTCAGGTCTTTTGCAGACTCCAACAGGTTTTCTTCCAGAATGGTCCTGTATTTGGCTCCATCCATCTTCCCATCAATTATAGCCATCTTCCCTGTCCCTGCTGAAGAAAAGCAGGCCCAAACCATGATGCTGCCACCACCATGTTTGACAGTGGGGATGGTGTGTTCAGGGTGATGAGCTGTGTTGCTTTTACAGTAGGTCCCATTTCATTTTGTCGCCTTTCACGCGTGAATAGCACGAGACTCACGTGTGAAACACGCGTCTTTTATTTTATTTTCCCCCAGTGATGCTGCAATGACCCAAACAACCACCAGGTGGCACTTGTGAGCAGGGTTAGGAACATTGGCTTCTCACCTCTCATTCTTCTCTCTTCACCGGACAACTGTCTGTGGCTTTATAGCTCAATGATAAGGAGCTAGACTCTGGTGCGAGAGGACCCGGGTTCAAGCATAGGCTTTGACACTTTTGATTTTGTTTACGTTTACATTTTTTCTAAAACATACTTAGTAATTAGGCCAACACATTTAAAATAGTTGCTAGACTTTAGTAAACTCGTAAAACGCGCTGGGTGTCACATATGGCTGGGTGCATTAACACACGGGTTGCCACTATTCATTCTATTACTATTACTATTACTATTCATATTCCTGGAAAATTTTCATTTCCTCTATAAATTAATTAATGTCATTGATGGCCTAATAATAGTGTAGTAGCCTACATAGGATAAAATATATGCAGCATAATATGAATTAATACATATTTATATAAATATTGCATTAATTATGAGGCAGGGTGACCAATAGTGACAGATCTGCCAGCCAATCACAAAAGATTATACTTGTTTGAAAGTAGTGATTTCATCCAATGGGGAGTAAACTACTAATGGGGAGTAATCACACGTGGGCTGGCCACGTGGGATTTTTCAGCCAATCACGAGTTTGAAAGTCGTGGTATCCGCCAATGCTGAATAGTGTTCTGAAGCAGCCTGGCCAGCCGCTGCATTCATATGCTAATTAGGGCCATTAGCGCTCGGCGGCCGCAGTGTTTCGCTGCATTCATATGCAAAGTAGGGACATTAGCATGGTACGGATGCAGCAGTTTGGAGGACAGGGCACCCTAACTGCGCCTTTTGAAAACTGCCTGAGATACCCGAAAAAGAGCGTGATTTCCTGCCGTTTAGGGTGACGAAAATCTAACTTTTCATGCAGTGCCTTATACTGTAGTCGCTCATACAGACTCCAAACTTTCCAGTCTTGGACGTAACAATATTTAGAAGGTTTTTTCAGAGGGATTTTTTTAATAGCCTAGCCTGATTTATTCAGCTTTGAACCCAAAAAAACAGGCGGAATTGGAGTTTTTACAGATTTGTTCATTATGATTAGTCAATTGAAAAACTAAACAATATATCCAAAATCCCATCTGCTAAAATCTTAGTTACTAATATGTCAATAAAATGAAACCATACATTTTAATCTGGCGCAATCCATTATTTTTATTCCGTTGCCCAAAATATAGGCAATTTTGGCCATTTTTATGAACAACATGTCTTACTTTGGAAACATAAAATGACAGAACATTTTCTGTTCACCTGCCTTAAGCTTTTGTTAAAGCGGAGATAATACGAAGGACATGAGGTTCCTTTTAATGTTCGTATGATTGAGGCTGGTTCGATCTACTGGACGTTTGGGTAAGGCAAGCGCACAAGTTAAAGCTGCGTAAGAACTGAACTGTATTGAACCAGGGCTCGAGTCCACAGGAATGGCGAAAATCCAGTTTATCTTGAAGCACCAGTGAAGCACCCGGTCAAAATGCATGTTTGCTGCTGGCTATCCCATACTGTAGAAGAAGTCAGAAAGGAACTTTTGAGAAGAAGTGTTAAGTAAAAATAAGTAATGAAGTAAAATACAATTGTATTGTTACAGTACTTACAATACAGTGCAGTAAGTTAGTACAGTGTTTTACAGAGTCAATCCTTTGACTTTAAACCGCGTTTTGATAGGCCCGAAGTGAGCAACAAACCTCACCGCACGTCACTGGGTGGGGGTGGGGGATGGGGGTTGTGGCACAGTCTTGTTTGTCAAACGGTCGCTATTGTAAAACACACAACTCACACTGAGAGAGGGATTCAGACTGCAGACATCACTTAAGTCCAAACTTTAGCAGGACTTCTCTTGTACTGCTTTTGTAATGAGCTTGATAAACATGTAAAACTTTAAATACAATTGGAATTCAACTCCACAATCAGCACCAACCAAACTGCAAGAATAAAAATGCCAATTTTACAACATGACATTTCCTTTTGACAAGGAAAGAAGATAACAAGCTGATAATGTTACGTAATTGCACACAAGCAACCAAAAGGTGTGCAACCAAAACTGCCTCAGACAAGAATCGAACCCGGATCCCCCGGGTCCTAACCTGCAACGCTAAACATTCGGCCAACATAGTATCATTAGGCAAGACAAGTTTGCACGCAGCTTTAATACCTGAACGTTTAAGTCGCTGGCAGAGCTAAAGCGGACTTAACCTGTCACCTTGTGGTGATAAGATGTAATATGTTTCACACAGCTGCGTGATTCATAAAAAGCGTGAGTGAAGACGACAAAACGAAATGGGACCTACTGTACGCCAAACATATCGTTTTGCATTGTGGCCAAAAAGTTCGATTTTGGTTTCATCTGACCAGAGCACCTTCTTCCACATGTTTGGTGTGTCTCCCAGGTGGCTTGTGGCAAACTTTAAACAAGACTTTTTATGGGTATCTTTGAGAAATGGCTTTCTTCTTGCCACTCTTCCATAAAGGCCAGGGGCCGTATTCCTAAAGATTCTGAGAGTCCTCTCAGAGAGCTCTTATCTTAACCTAAAAACTCCTAGCTAGGAGTCTTAGCTTAAAAGTTATTCCAGAACACTCTTAGAGAACTCTGAGCAAGGAATTGACAACAACTTTTATCTTAGTGAGGAGGCGTGGCCGACCCCGTTGCTAGGTATGAGTCATCATTTCAGACGCTGTGATTGGTTGATCCTAAAAGTTAGAACAAACATATTTTTGATGATAATAGGCAAAATAAGGGCCCTAAAATGGACAAACTCAATCATGGAATCTAATCTTAGGAACACTGTGTTATTGTAAATAATAACCAAAAGCTATAAAGTCAGATATATCAATGGTACATAAATACTGTGAATAGTAAAGTTAGACTTATACACCATCATCAGAGCTTGCTCAGCACCAATTTATCACACATAATACGTATATATCATGAGCACTTATAATTTTATATATATATATATATATATATATATATATATATTACACATATATATATACATACAATTTAAATATTACTCTATATATAATATACATGATAAAGAAAATTATTATTATAAATATTATATGGATAAATGATGATAATGATAACGTTAGGATTAGTAAAGGCTGTGATATGTATAGACTTATAAGGAATTAAGGAAACAATATTAATATAAACATATTATACATACACTGTACAAATCAAGTACAACGGAGCTTAAAAGTCTTATCCTCTCCCACTCCTTTTTGAGCTGGATTGTTGTTCTATTCTGTGGTTGTTTTGTTTGTTTTGTCCTTTTTTTTCTTGTTTGCCATGGCTCAAAATAAAGTATTCATTCATTCGTACTGAATGTGTGACAATTTAGGACCACTTTTTCCTCTCTTTTAACTTTTACCATTTCTACTTACTTTTGTGTAACAAAGGTAAAATGGATGAGGTGTTATTGCTGACCAGCCAATGAGAAGCTGGTCACATGATTGACTTTTAAATATACCACAAACATGATTCCTGCTTGAATCTGTAGCGTTTCACTGATTCACTGTCATCCAGTGTATAGAATATTTCTCCTGTCTCCACCGTCCACCATTTTGTGCTCTTAGGGAACTTTTAAGTCGCTAAAAGTCCTCCTCTCAACTCTTAAGGGATCTCCCCTTAAGAGCACTCTTAAGAGCTAGGATTTTTTAGGAATAGCTTTTATCTTAACTAGGAGCTACTCCTCACTTTTAGGGGAAATTCTAAGAGTTGGTCAAGATTCTAAGAAAATTCTTAGAATTTGGCCACTAGGAGCAACTTTTAGCAGTAAGAATCTTTAGGAATACGGCCCCAGATTTGTGCAGTGCACGACTGATTGTTGTCCTATGGACAGACTCTCCCACCTCAGCTGTAGTTTTCTGCAGTTCATCCAGAGTGATCATGGGCCTCTTGGCTGCATCTTTGATCAGTCTTCTCCTTGTTTGAGATGAAAGTTTGGAGGGACGGCCGGGTCTTGGTAGATTTGCAGTGGTCTGATACTCCTTCCATTTCAATATAATTGCTTGCACAGTGCTCCTTGAGATGTTTAAAGCTTGGGAAATCTTTTTGTATCCAAATCCGGCTTTAAACTTCTCCACAACAGTATCTCGGACCTGCCTGGTGTGTTCCTTTGTCTTCATGGTTCTCTGTGCGCTTTAAACAGAACCCTGAGACTATCAAAGAGCAGGTGCATTTATACGGAGACTTGTTTACACACAGGTGCATTCTATTTATCATCATCAGTCATTTAGGACAACATTGGATCATTCAAAGATCCTCCCTGAACTTCTGGAGTGAGTTTGCTGCACTGAAAGTAAAGGGGCCGAATAATATTGCACGCCCCACTATTCAGTTTTTTATTTGTTAAAAAAGTTTAAATTATCCAATAAATTTTGTTCCACTTCACGATTGTGTCCCACTTGTTGTTGATTCATGACAAAAAATTTAAATTTTATATCTTTATGTTTGAAGCCTGAAATGTGGCGAAATGTTGAAAGGTTCAAGGGGGCCGAATACTTTCGCAAGGCACTGTATATCCCACAGCCCCTTCGGGCGTGGAGCGACAAATCTCCCTTGCGTCCCTTGCCCATGGTTTGGGGGCGCACATGAAAGGTGTAACACAAGGAGGGAGAATGTGAAAGTATGCGACTGCAGGTAGAGGTGTGTGTGAAAATGCACGTTACATCAGGCGCAGCAGGAAGACATAATGTGGCGCCTAATATCACGTCCCCACAACACCTCATCCCCCCACTCCCAACAACATCGACCCCCTTCATCTGGGCTTTACAACCGTGCTCAGGCCCACCACAGTTGCAGCGGTCACGCGTTACCCGCCTCGGTCTAATTGCGATCTGGACTTAGGCCCACTTTAACTGAGCTTTAGGTTTTAGTATTTAAATTAACAACAGTAAAATATTTAGAATTAAATATGTATGTTTGTGGATGTAACAGGATAAAATGTGAAGCTGTACTTTTTCATGGCACGGTATACAATATCATGTGGTTCCCTCAATAATTTACAGCCTATTATTTGGATTCAAAATCAGTAGATTTGTTCCTTCTGTCCACAAATTTGGCTTCAGTTAGCAAATGGCATCAGCAAGAACTAACTAGCGCCACTCCTGATTTGCTTTTTGTTTGGCTCTTCCAAATTTGGCTGTGGATTACCACCTGTGGAGTTGTAAAGAAAACACTGTGGGTGATGTCAACACTTTGATTATAGTCTCTCCCTCATTTTCAAAAGTGATGTCAAAGAATTAGTCATTATGTATACATATTTAATGTTAAATCTGACTTTGAAGTATTTACCCATGTAAAGATGTAATCTATATGAAAGACGACATTTTCATACGTTTATAACGGTCGGAGCTCATCAGTTATCATGCCATTCCGAAGAATCAGGACACTGTAAAACCTGCCGTCACGTTGTAGCTGCTCAGGGATTACGGATGAAAATTTGCCCACATTGCCTAGAAAAAGGGTGGTGTGTGTCGGAAGGGCCAATGGTTAATACTGTTGCCTCGCTTCTATCAGTGTGCCCCAGGGCAGCTGTGGCTACAGTAGTAGTTTATCACAGCCGTGTATGGAGTGAAAGAATGACATGTGAAGTGTCTTTGAGTGTCCTGAAAAGTGCTCTATAAAATGTATGTATTATTATTGATATATTGGGAGGTTCTCAACAAACTTTGGGACCCCTATAATCTGCTATTGCAATGGTTTCCAGAGTTTTGGCTTTTCCTTACAGATGCGATTGTGGACCCAAGCTCGCCAGATGGGTTGGCATGCAGGTCGCTGTATGGCTGCACATGTCCTTTCAGAGCCTATTGAGTTAGACTTCTGCTTTGAACTTTTCTCACACATTACAAAATTCTTTAGTTACAAGGTAAGTGTAAATATTGGCTGCTAAATCTGCAACGTTATTACAGCTGTATTAGAAAAAGTATGTGATTTTAGGTGGTGCTCTTGGGGAAATATAATGCCCAAGGTTTAGGACCTAACCACGAGCTGGTTGTACGGTGTACCAAAGGACGAGAGTACATCAAGGTAAAGAACAAACATTTACATAGAGAAAGTACTACTGTAATTATATAACATATTATATATTGTTGTGGAAATTCTGCACATAACAAGAGTAAAATAATGTAAACAACTCAGAGCTGTAATTCCAAACAAAGTGTGAGTTTATTCATTAGTAAATGTGCACAATTACAATGAATAACAGAACCGATACCAATACCACCGGGCAGCCGTCTGAAATCGACTGCCACGATTGAGGAAATAACTGTACATTAAATAGACCAGAGTAAACAAACACATATCTACTCTAGATTTTTTTAGATTTTTTTAGATCTGCTCCCTTCTACATCAAGCAGACCTTAGATTGTTTATGAGTTAGTATCAGGATTAGGGTGTGGCTAACCACACCCATAGGTTATAAATCTCCAACGCGCGGTCCGAGAATTCATTCCCTGAAGAAGTCCGCTAGTTTGAGGACGAAACGTCGGGAAAACTTGCTAAGAAGTACAGATGATGGGTGAGAAACCTTCCTTTGCATCTACTCTAGATATTACATAGATGAAGTCAACATTGATACGTGTTGCTCAAGGCTTCTCTTTACACGTCCTAACGCTGATACAACTCTGATATTTGTAACAATCTGCTTTTGAACTGAACATATTGTTCTATGACCCAGGTCAAAGACATGATGCAGCACGTCTCCATCTATCACTGACCTGCTGCCAACAGAGCATTATGGCCTGTATCTGAATCCAGAGTTGACTATTAGTTAATAACTTACACTCATAACTATTTGGTGTTAATTCAGGTTGCTTTACTAAAATATTTCTATAACAATATAATATTGAGAAACATAATTACTTACAAAGACATTTTTCCACTTTCATTTGTATTGAGGGATCTTTTTTATAGCAAGGATTCTGAAACTTTTTGTTGTCACCATCCCCTTACAAACCTTATCCATGGCCCCAAGAGAGATTGGATAAAGGGTGGGTGGGTCTGGGTCAAGCGTTTGCACACAGGCAAGAGCAAGTCTGCATAAAATATTGTTTTTCACAACAAAACAGTTCTTTATTATTGAGCTATTTTAATTTGTGTGCTTCCTAAAATCATTTTTTCTATTTTATTATTTTCTAAATGCAGTGCTCAATGCTCTTGTCTTTTTTCTGAAAACATGGTTCTGGAGTTGACTCTCAGTTTACCTCAGGCCTTTTTACACTCTATTATTAAAAATGCATTAAGAACTTCATCACAAGTGATCATGCATGAAGATTAACAAAAACTGAGCTCATCCTGAGAAATGACATCAAATATATGTATGAGTTTTGATTTGCATATTTGACAGGTGGTTTTGAGTGGAGGGAGGATGGTTGGAGCTGTGCTTATTGGAGATACTGATCTCGAAGAGACTTTTGAAAACCTCATCTTGAACCAGATGGACCTGACATCATATGGAGAAGATCTTCTCAACCCTGACATTGACATTGAAGACTATTTTGACTGAATAGCACAGGCCTCTAGCTGTTATGTGCAATTTATGTATACTAAAGTCCAATCAAACAGGCAAACAAATAATCTATGTTGATCATCAATTTTGAGATTAATAAATTATTTATTGAAAGTTACAATTGTAAATGCTCACCATCTATTTCCATGAGATCATCAAGTTTTATTTTGGAACAAAATAAAACAAAGATACCGTTCTCTCGTTCTCATAACAATTGCACTCACATGAGTCAAGGCCAAAGAGTATGTTGATAGTAAACCTAGCCCACACATGAGAAACTAAAGCAAGCTTATTTTCTGAGAAAAGGATGTTCCGCAATGCTTGTGTTCATAGACTTTTGTTACTATGTAAGTGATACATGTTTCTGGTTTAACGGCAATGGCAGCTTCCCTGTGTCTCAGTGGATTCTACAACAATAGGCACTATCACTTTCTCATAAAGCGGTCCATTGTGCAGAGGATGGCGTGTCCATCAGATCTATTTATTTGTAAAAAAGAATGAGACAAAAATTGGGTGATTTTACAGTATCTTTTTCATAAACTGGCACAGCTACCTTGTTGTTTTTTCTTTGATTGATTTACACATTTGGCTCACTGATTAAACCAACCATCTACAGTGTTCAGAAGGGAATCCCCAAGGATTAACATTGAGATTAGGGCTTGGCAATAAATCGAATTTAGGCAATTAATCGGCTTTTGAAAAAATCAAATTTGTGAAAAATGTGAAAATCGTGAAATCGAATGAAGGTTATTGTGAGAGTTCCAGCAGCACAAGAAATATAATTGCAATATCAGCACAGTCTGTACAAGACTTTTATAATACATATTGGGGAAAATAAATTAAAAATAGTTTTGAAACATAACTATTGAGCGGAAAGATCAAAACTTATTTTTGAGGGCATAGTCTGTCTTCGGTGACCTTAAAGAAAATCGATAAAAAATCGAAATTGTCCAAAGCTGGAAGTAAAATTGAGATTTTACTTTTTTGCCATATCGCCCAGCCCTAATTGAGATCAATGGGGAAAGTATTTAAAGAAACCATGTGGATTGATGCTGCAGTTCCGCGGGTGGCTCCTTGTCTATGCTGGAGATGGGTTTAAGCTATCCAGGCAGTTCATACATCAATGGAACTTGGCTGTAAATAATAGGTCATGTAAAACCATAAATAAGATTTCATTAGCATAACAATTAAATCTGAAAATGTATTATGTTTGGAGACACAGACATAAAACAGACACATTAAAATCTACAATACTGCCTCTTTAAGCCAAGCAAGTGCCTCTTGTGGATTTTTGCAAATTATTCAACGAGGGAGCGTCACATCCATGTGTTACGTCATCCTTGTTCGTGTGTGACTGTACTCCGGGCGGGTTTAATTTCTAATCATTGAGTTTATCAAAATATTATCGGTCATGGAAAAGTGTCTGCTTGGCGTATATCTGCGATCTTCTTAAAGCTTCCCGTCACTCGCCCAGTTTTTTTCCTCTGCGGGGGGCGGGACTTTTGCAGAGGCGTCGCCGCATATCGACCACTCTTGGATCCTTCACTCGCTTACAGTCACGCACTTCATTCACTCATCACCTTGCAACTGTACCAGTCGGTGAGTTGTGTCATTAAAAAGCTTATAAAATGGCTCAGTACATTCATGTTCCAGACCAGGCGCCCGCTGTGCCCAAAATAGACATAACCGTGGACGAGAAGGACTACCGCTCTGGCGCACTGAGGCTCATCCAGGAGCTGCGGCCGAACTGGAAGCCGTCTGAGGTTAAAATCAAGGTGTGCTTAATGTTATGATTGTATATTGACACATGTGTACTATGAATGTAAAATTGTTCAATCTACGCATGGTTGACTATAGGCCTACTTAAAAAATGATCAATACACGGTGTTGAGCAAACGAGTATCCATGGGCTGTCAAGAAGGTCTTATTTTAACTACAAAATGCTACAAGTCGAATCTTATATTGTTTATTATGTACATCTTCTCAAGTTAACCCACATCCGCATCTGCGTCAGATCGGATCATGGGCTGGCTCTGCTGCAGCGTTTCGCCCTGGCCTTGTCACTATGAAACACGACATGCTTAAAGCTGTCTTCTGAATCAGACAGACATAGAGTGATTATATGTTCCGAAGAGCTTATTGCGTGGTCCCAGTTTATGGCTATAGAGACCAGGGATGATTGCGTTTGTTTTAGAGACTAGAAGCATATTCTTGACGTCGCACCTTGTCCCAATTATTGACAGCCTTTCTGGCAAGAGGGAATTGGGGATGATTAGACCTGAAAGCCCAAAGTCCTGTTGGGGATTCCCATTATATTTAATTGCTGCAATTATTGGACTACCTATTTTAGTGACGTTTCAAAGTTTACTGTGAGAGAAGGGGAGTGGCTCTGCGGGGTAGACAAAATGTGGTATGCTCCGTTCCGATGTGTTGTCATGAACTCAGGGAAAGTGGTTCCACAGCAAATGCCTGTCATTGCTTCATAGTGAAGAATACAATTCCTAACGATCCAACCATTCCCAGCCAATCCCTGATAGACTAACAATATATGTGTGTGCTGTGGACATCATCTTTGCTCTCGTTTCACTTAAAAAGCATCAGTCACGTGATACACCAAAGCCACCACTTCCAGTTATTATACTTCCCTGATTCTGTGTTATTGCAGTTCTTCACTGATGGAATAACCAACAAGCTGCTTGGGTGCTATGTTGGCCCAGTCATGCAGGACGTGGTTTTGGTCCGTATTTATGGAAACAAAACAGAGCTGCTGGTGGACAGAGACAATGAAGTGAAGAGTTTCCGAGTCCTGCAGGCTCATCGCTGTGCCCCGGCCCTCTACTGCACCTTCAACAATGGACTGTGCTATGAATTCCTCCAAGGAACTGCCCTGGAGCCTGAACATATTCGCAGCCAACCTGTTTTCCGGTAAACGTTCTTCTCTTTTGTGGACATTGTAGGGAGCATATTGTTGTCTTAGTGCATGCAGTAAAATGAGAGGGAATACGTAGTTCAGGACTAATTTTTTAATCCCTCTCTAGACTCATTGCTCGGCAACTTGCCAAATACCATGCCATCCATGCGCACAATGGCTGGGTGCCCCAGTCTGACATGTGGATGAAAATGGGAAAGTACTTTGCTCTTATCCCCAAATGCTTCAATGATCCTGAGCGACACACAAGGTGAGACTCTTTAACAGCCTAAACTTTATCAGTCTAAATGTATAACACATATTTATAGCATTTGTTGTGCTTGGTTGTGAAACACGTGGCTGATAAGTTTGTTTATGCTTCCAGCCAGTTGTGTTGTAACACTGAACTTATCAGTGACAGAGTAGTTATGACTTACTACTTGTTATTGTTCAATAAACCTTAAAGCTTGAATCAGGAAGTGGGCAGCTTTGTGACTTAGCCCCTAGGAAAAATATAGTTGTTAAATTAAATTGACAGTATGTAATATGCACATTTAGTGATCCAATAATGTAGTTACAATTTAAATCCAACTTTTGTTGTCATAATGTTTCTGCCTGTGACACAATGCAATCCAACTTCTGGGTGTACCTCGAACTGTGTAGTAAATATGACTACTATACTATGCTTATTTTTGATCTGCTTTAATGGTTCATACAGATAAATTTATATTTATATATATATATATATATATATATATATATATATATATGCTTGTAATTTATAATGAAATATACTGTATAAAAATCATTGAGCAGGAACTATCGGTGCATTCATTTGTTAGCAGAAAAAATTAGGAATTTCTGTCCTCATCGTGCTGCAGATAAACTGCTATTAGGTTGGCGCAGTGGTTAACACTTGTTTCGCAGCAAGAATGTGCAAAACGTGCAATAGTTCAGGGTGAACGAGTGTGTTTGAGTGCAACTGTAGGACTACAGATGGAATTTAGCCCAAGGCTACTATCTGCTGTATTTATACACTTATTAATACACACTGTCCCATCCAAATAACACATTCATTGTGTAAGGAGTTTATTCAGATTACCATAGAATGTTTTTGTGTGACTCTGTTCCTGTTCCATGTCCTGCTTGGCTTTGTTTTTCTGATTTTTTTTTTAGTTTGGATGTAATTTTTATTTATTTTTTCCCGCAGATTGACTACAGAGGTGCCCAGTCAGTGCTGCCTCAGAAAAGAGCTGATGTGGCTTCAGCAACACCTGTGTCAGCTGGGCTCCCCTGTCGTGCTCTGCCACAATGACCTGCTTTGCAAGAACATCATTTACAACAAGAAATCTGGTACGTGGCTCTGCTATTTATGTCTCCTATTGTGTGACTGTTTGAAATGCACTGGCCCGGGGACTTGGTGAGTCCTAATCACATGCCTCACTCATTGTCTATGTGTTGATAACTCCTTAAGACAACTGCTTGAGGTGTGAAGGAACCTTCTACACATGAACATGATGCAGTGTACCGTTCCACACATTCAGAGGCAATGCATGGAGGGATCCAAAAAGTTGTCCACGCAACCAGATATCCTGATTCAAAGCAAATCTACAACTATTTATTGTAATGGTTCATTATTGTGTTCCCCACTCAAATCATGTATGTTTACGTGTTTTATAGATTTGCAAGGAAAACCATAAGATAAGACCTTTTATTGATCTTACAATGGACCCATATGGATCCTGTGGGATCGTGTTCCAAACTTGACTAAATTATTCAATGCCATCACAAAACATTTGTATCTTTTTTTACCTCCAACGTCTAATGACGATAAACTATAGGTTTGGACAACATAATCCCAAGCCAACATTTAATGATTCTATGTTTCATTTTATTATTTGTATTATTTTTGCTCATTAAGAATAAGACTTTTTACTTCATGTTTTAGAACATGAAATAAGATTGCAAAACATGTATCATGGGTCAATCATGGAATCTGCGTGTAACTTTCCATGGGACCACCAGAGATTTTTTTGAAACTTACCAGCTAATTTTGAATGTATTTTAACACATTACTTTAGCATGGATGGATCTAAAAAAGTACTCCAAGACCTTGTTTTGATGAGGGTGCAATGTTGTATCAGGATTTAAAGCTTGAAAAAGGCTTGCAGAATTTGTCTTTGACTGGTTATCTCATTGCATATAGTCTCTACTGCAGAGCTGCTAGTCGGCGCTTGCATCGATCCTGTTTAAGTATGGAAGAAACGACATTTTGAGATGTTTCCATCAGCAGCCAGAGGCTGTTTATCAGTACCTCAACTGAACTCTACAGTTTCCAGGAAAAACGTACACTTTGTACTTACGCAGAGAACTCTGTTGGAGGTTGTCATTAACCACTGTTGTGCCATTGGGCCCACAGGGCAACCAATGAGAACACTGCTTTGAAGGGGTGTTGTGGGATAAGGAAGTCAAATACTTTGTCTGATGTTTAAAACTCCCCTCATGAAGATGGTTAAAAACTTGAGTCCATTAGCGAGAGAGCATGTGTGAAAGTTGTGTTTGCCCCAACCTTTTCATCTGCTGCACAGGGGGGCTATAGCCACTGCCTGGAGGTGTTCATTGTGTCCCGCAAGGACCTACACGGCGCCGGGTAACCCACCTCAAAGTGTCTTTCTCTGTAGTCCACCACCTCAAAAACTGTTTAGATGTTATGCTAAATACTACTTAAGACATTTGTAAAAATGTAGTATTTCATTGCACATTTAAGGCAGTGTTTTGCGTAGTAGGGCTTGGAAAAGTAAGGGTTTGGATTTTGTGATACTATATTTATTACATGAACTAACATGTACAGTACTCTTCCTTGTCAGTATAATATATTAAATGCAATATCATGGGTAATAGAAATAGTTTATAGCAGCAGACATGCACATGTTCTGAACGCTTGTCAACACAAATGCATGTAGACCTTTACAAACGCATGATCCATAAATTGTGGATGGTACTTGAGTGCTCACCCCATTCAGACCACACTTAACTGATGGCTGAGGACACTAAATCTTTGGGTAAACAAACTCCTCAGCTTCAGAGGGTGGGACAAAATGGGTTTCCATAGAACCACCTACATTAGCCGTTTGTATTTGTTTTTCTAACCTTCAACTGCTTTTGCCTTTTGCTCTTGGCTATTCTGCTTGCTGCATGTTTTTGAATATAAAAAACAACACTAGCAGTTACATTATGACTTAAAGCACCCTTTAAAGCTATCTAATATAATCTGTTGTCTGTTTTCAAGGTTCTGAGAAAAGCATATTGCTATTCCTAGTCTTCTAGTTCCTGCTGCCTCAATCACAGAGTTTAACACTAGACAAACGAACATGGTCATTTTTTACAAGATACACTTCAAAGCACCTTTCTCTCTATATTATATTGTCAATATGGTTTCCCAAAATGCAAACTCTTCATACCTGCCCTGACTATTGGTCTAATAAACGTAACAGCACAGGCTACATAGTGCAACCATGACAATTTCACTTGTTAAACGGAAAACTCATCATCATTAGAAGGCCTTCTCGGCGTCACTGTCTAATTGATCCCTGTTCTATTTTCAGGAAATGTAAAGTTTATAGACTACGAGTACGCTGGGTACAATTACCAAGCCTACGACATTGGGAACCACTTCAACGAGTTTGCAGGTAAGTACAGGAAAATGTGTATCCATCGTTCACCCTATTCCTCTTTACCCTTTCAAACATACATTTTAAAGATCTGTATTGGGAATTGCAAGTGATCTCGGGTGATAAGTTCCCTGCTGTTATGTTGTAGGTATAGATGAGGTGGACTACAACCAGTATCCTGAGCGGGACTTCCAGCTGCTCTGGCTGCGCTCTTATCTCGAGGCCTACAAGGAGCACAAGGGCACGGCCTGTGATGTGACTGACCGAGAGGTGGAGACCTTGTACATCCAAGTCAACAAGTTTTCGTTGGTATGCATAGAAATGTCCTCACTAATACTGTGTTATAGAGAGCCTGTATTCTTTACATAATACCAAATTTGTAAACAAAGAAAAAAAATCATAAGACCAGATAATCTTTATTGATCTCACAATGGAGAAATGTATATGTCACATTTGGCATAGATATAATCACTCGGGGTGTGCAAACATGCTAAAAGGTTCATATTAAAATTGAAAAGACTATATCAGTGGGAGTATAGTATAGTATAGTGTATAGGTTGCCATAACATTTCTTATTGTGGCACAGTAGACACAGTAGATTGCCAGTTAGCAAGTTGCCAGTTAAAGAATTGGCTGATATGTTACTATGGCATGTTACACCTTACAAGCTAATTTTTGCACATCTGTTACATTTATGTTACTTTGAACCGAAAGGGTTTTCAAGAAAGGGCCGGTGTGGCTGCTGGATTTTATTCCAACCAAACAGGAGCACACCAGACTCGACCTGAAGACTTGAGGAAATGGGTGAAGACTGGACTAACTTGGGTGGACCTGACTTAATGGGTGGAGTCTTGTGTGCTCCTGCTTGGTTATAATGAAATCCTGCAGCCACACCAGCCCTTTCTGGAACCAGTTTGACACCCTTGTGTTAAACAATTAACCTAAACACAAGTAATTGAAAATAATTGAAAAATATTCTTCTCATCTTCAAGATATGAATGGGAATCGGTTTTTTATTATTGGGAGTGGACATAACTTTTTCATTTGAGGTTCTCAGATGAGTACCAGGAGATGGTGTTTGGTACTCACTCAATTTGTCGCGTGGTTCTTAATGGAGATTTTATACTTGCTTCTTTTTAATGCTAAAGTTTAGATCAGCTCAGATAATCCACTCAATCTAAGTCACATAATGACTCACAATGTTCTGTTTTGTTCACAACAGTATACTTTTGGGCACAACCAACATTATTATGCATTATTAATGCAAGGGAAAATGTAGGTACCACAGCTTTAATTTAGAGACACAGGGAGGACATGGTGGACATTCCCTTAAGGCTCCAGAGTCCAGCAGCGAAGACTAGCACTAGCTTGGTGCAGAACCAAACAGGTTGACTCATCAGTTCCTCTGTATGATCATGCACACAGTGTGACAACCGCATCAAATGAAGTGTAGGAGGCGCCTGTAGCGAAAGCATATCAGTTACCCACTGTATATTGTGAAACAAAGTTAGATCGCGGAAAAAATACCTGCAGCTTGCTCGGCTCCGACTTTCCCCATGACGGCACACCCACCGGTGATTAGAGCGCGCTCCATTCAGGAAGTGTTGCCACAGGGACGGTGGGAACTCTCGTTCGAACTCTCGCAGGAGTAAGACAACTACCGCGAGATTCTTTACAAGAGACGGCATAAAAATAATGGAGAGGAGCGGAGACGATAAAAATGACCCGGGTTACATGAGTTGGTAAGCGCCTTTGCGTACTTCAAGTCATGCCCTGTAAAAATGTCTAAATGGCACGTTAGCACCAATCCTGTTAGCTTCAAAAATATGGACATTTGGAAAAATTGGCTAATCAACCCCAAAAAGGGCAAATATAAGGAAACTGGTTACAAAAGGTACAGTTAAATACAATTTGTCATTGTTCATGGGGTCAAGGGTGTATAGATGAAAAATTAACATTAAATTACTATGACTCTTTTAAATAATGAATCATAAATCCTTCTAACTAAACCCATGACGTGGTAATTGATGTACTGTCAGCAGCCACATAATTTATTATATTGCTTCAGTCACTCGACACGTCCGTTTGTAGTGTCCTGGCGTTGCCCCGGGGTACAGTAACTGTCCTGTGGGTTGAACATGAGCTCTTGTTGATGAGTGCCGTGTAACCTGCTCCACTGCTCACATGCAAGTCTTTGAGGCAGGTGTGGTTGGTGCGGTTGGCTTGAGAGGGGAAGGTTTACGTTTTGAAAAGTGGTTACCGGTGCTAAGCTCGGTGCTTGTCCCATGAGACTGCTTTTGTTTGCCGTCAAGCAGACACGGGAGGATGGCCAAGTCATAGTCTTGTGTGGCAGCTATTCCCAGTTGTCATAGCACTGCCTCTGCTTGAGTAGTCCGTTTTAAACTCTCACTGTCACTTTTAATTCTATTGTACATAATATCTCTTGAACCAAAGAGACTATATTTTGACCTTTTAACACTTCCTGTCTTTTTGCACACCCTGAGTGATTTTATCTGTTTCAAATGTGACATGTACATTTCTCCATTGTGAGATCAATAAAGTTTATCTTATCTTAGAGAATATGGTTCAATACATTTTTAGTACGTGTATCGTCTACTTATTCGTCTTTTTTTTTCATAGGCTTCTCATTTCTTCTGGGGACTTTGGGCTCTGATTCAAGCCAAGGTTTCAACTATCGACTTTGACTTCTTGGGGTATGTTTGAGTAAATTCTTGTAATAAAGAAAATGTTAAGCATAATTTATGGCTAACAACAGTTGTGGAAGAGGGGTGGACTGTTTATGCCAGTGGGGTCTCCTCTCCCCCACAGTGAGTGACTTCTTAGGTGGTGAAAATAAATTGAGTCAGTATGATGGTGTTCAATAGATCTCCATAAAACAATCAAACATTACTTACTTACTTACATAAATTAAAGTGTATTTATATAGCGCATTTTACAGACCAAGGTCACCCAAAGCGCTTTACAATGTTCAGAGTTCAGTGAACATTATGTGAACGTTTGAAATATTCACATAATAAGCAATAGCAAGCGACTCTTGGTTTCTAGATTAGGACAAAAGACAATAATTAACCCCAAGAACTAACCCACAAATGATGATTTCCATTGTTTTGTGTCAATGATAGTTGGTGAACCTAATTTGCTTTGCACATTTATCACATATACTTGTCTGTCAGCTGATTTAAAATCGCCTAACTTTGAAACCACCAAATAATTTAACAATTCCTAGTGCTCAAAACACACACAGTAACATTTAGACTGTTGAATTTAAGCGCTTAAAAACTTTCTATACATATATTTTCATTTTTTAAAATTAAAAACGATATGGAATTGATAATCAGTGACTGAAATTCACAGACAAAAATACTAAAGATCTGATGGAACAAATGAGCCGTCTTTTTTCACAGAGCATTGAATTTGGCTAGAAAAGAAACAATATTATAAAGGCGAATATGCCATTTTGAAATTTTAATCACATCACATTTTGTAAACTGGGTTTTTAGAGACTGAAAAGCAAAGACAAACGTATTCAAACATGCTTTTTCAGGGTTAAAATGTTCAAGTTCAAGCTCATTTCAATATCAAAATCTGGTGACACTAAAAAATTTTCCATATTAAAGCTCATGAGAACACACTGCCTATAAGATACGACAGAGAAAAAGAAAGTACCAGCCCTCACTCAGCCAATCAGCTCTCGTTATGAAAAAGGTCAAATAAAGGCTGCATGCTGTGGTCCTGTCATGTTCACAAAATGTTACTTTAATCAGGCTCTTTCTGTCGGGAAAAATTAAATAAGTTTTCATCATTTCACGTTTCCTTCTAGATATGCTGTTCTGCGTTTCAACCAATATTTCAAGATGAAACCTGACGTGGCAGCGCTGACTCTACCCGACTAAGGAACCGGTCCCTCTTCCATTTCTCACCCTCTCTTGCTCCCACTGCACTGGCCTCACAAAGAGACCGCTCTCTCGACGTCTTTGTAGGAAGAGCACGGCGAGAGTTGAGCCGATCCAGGTCCAACTCTCTCTCAAGAGAAAGTGGATGGCAACAATCTTATCCATTATTCTCCGTCGCACCATGTTGAAGTATGACGGTGCCCAAATTTTGATATTTGATTTGATTTAATCTGGAGAAAGGAGGGAATCCTGCTACAGTAATGTGAATCTTGCACAATTGAAGAGGTTTTGTTTCTCATAACTCATTCAGATTAACACGATTCTTTTTTCTTCTGTTTGGATAATGCACTATCACAATGTTTGCTATATTGCCACTAGCTAAAGGCCTCACATGCCTTGACATTTAAAACCTGTTCCACCCCGTTACGAAACAGCTGGTTTTGGTTCCCCATGACTTTAAAAAAACAATATTTATCTTCTGTTTTGCATTTGGAGAAGTTGTATACATAAAAGCTACAGTATGTCAGAAATGGTTAGAATTAGTTATCGAAATTCCACTCAGCATTCCTTAAGATTGTCAGCTAATGCAGACAGAAAGTGTGTCACTATTGTCTTGCTCATGTGCGAAAACCACCACACACAATGAATTTATAAATAGTAGTTTTCCAAAGCCAACATCCGCTGTGTTTTTTGACCACTTTTGCCCGCGATTGTTACATCATTATGTAACCAGATAGCTGTGCACTTTAAAGATGCCTTACATAATGGATCGACCAGGAGTGCTTTGACCCAAACCGGTTTACAAAGTTAAACAGAATTATCAGTTTTGTTGATCTGACTAAAATTCCCACATTCCCATTCAGGACGGTGATATGTTCACAGTTCAAGTTGGTCAATGACTAACTGCCCAAGCCACGTCACGGTAACATAATATGCAATCGTTTTGTAGAGGTTATAACACTGCATTGTATTATTATTGTTGGGGAAAGAACATTTTATTTTGCGGTCAGTTTCTGTTTTGTTTTTAAACGTATCTAAAGATTGGTATGTTTTTTTTCCTGCGGTATTGTAGGCATGTAGAAGTGCCTTCATGTAACTTTGCACAGATTCATTTGTTCACATTACTCTCCCGACACACTACAATCTTGTAACGAGGACCTGTGAAGCCAGAGCGCACCGAGCCAATGCTTAAGCGAATAAGCTACTTTTGCATAGTAACATTTGAATGTGCCTTGAGCAAGGAGAGCCTACACCAAAGTGCAAAGACGCAAGAGTGTTGACCTAACATATAGTCCGTATATGTAGCTCCATTTGTTACAAAGCAAACATGAAACTCAATTGATTAGGGAAAAAAAAAAAAAAATGTCGGCTGCCCTGAAAGTGGGTTTACATTATAGACTGTATCCTTAAGGTACAAATGCCCATAAGTGGTGTGCTGTTAAAACGGGGCATGCCAAAACCTCATTTAAAGCTGGGGTACCTAACTTCAAAACCACCAAAAAAAAAATCTTGAAGGTAATAAAATCTTCACCACCAAAAAATGTAAATTGTTCCTCGTCCAGTTTTCACATGCATGTATTTTTTGTCAGATCAACTTTTTTAGACGGAAAAGTGGAAAAAAAGAGGACCACACTTATCTTATGACAGCTCTCAGCCCAAAGTGTCAAATAGTGACTCACGGGGCTCTTTCTTACAAGTACGCACAAGATGACATTTATTCGAATAAGATGAAAACGGCATGTTGCGTTCTGATTTTATTCACATTTTACTTTTACAAAATGAAATGCTCGTACAATGAATTAACGACGTTAGGTTCCCCAGCTTCAACACATTCTTGTTCATGTTTAGTTTTGATGTGTGAATTGACATAAAAAAAAATCATCTCAACACAATGTAGCTTTTTATCTCACTCGGCAGTCTGTTAACAATAACCTCTGTAGAATATGTCCATATGTACAGTATCGGAACATTGCCTATCAAATAATGAGTGGTTGTACAAAGATGAAGGAACTTTATTTTCTTTTATAAAAGGTGAATTTAACTAATAGGTCATTTGTGAAACAATGAGTTTATAATGAGTAATGTCAATACTTTGAACATTCTTTGAAAATGTTATAAATAAAATGTATTTAACATCTTACATCTCTTGCCTATTTTCTCTAAAACACCTGAAAAAATCGGTGAACATTGGTTTTAACCAATGCTCACTGATTTTTTTCAGGTGTTTACTCATTTGCTCTTTTGAATTAATGAATGAATGGGTGAATGATAAATCTGCAGCGTAACATTCTAGGACAGATCAGTCTCCAAACACCCTTTTTTTTCATAGTAAACCCCAAAGAGAGCTCCTGTAACCAACGATGTCCAAGTCTAATTGACTGCTGAATGACCTGTTTGATATTCTGGATGTGAGAAATAAGACATTACGAGAGAGTTGTTAATTGTGTAGTTCTGACCATTCATAATATTGCTCTGACTGAGTGCAGTTCAGGTGTGCCCTCTAGTGGTTAGTTTGTTATGGTTTAATGTTGGACATACGACTATGGATGTACTATGGACGTACCACAGTCCAAATTATACATTATAGCAGAGTTTCTTTCAAGTCAGACACCGTTCGATTCCACAGGTCAACTGTTTTCTCCTTGGCATAGTGGATTCGCGCCGTAGATAGTTCTAAATAAGCAATGTCAATAAATGTTAGAACCCATTGACAATGAGAAAGACAATGGGGAGGTTTCCATCTAACAGCAATCATTTTTTTAGCAGCTGTCAAACCAGCAAGTAAATTTTTTTCTTTGTCTTTCCGCAAGCCAAGGAGAGACATGTCATTGAGTAGTAAAACCTGTGGCTTACAAGGAATATTGCATGAAAGTAACAGAGATAAGCTATTGCATAGAACACTCCAAAAATAATAAACACCTGGGCATTCCCACACCATATGAAAATAAGTGCCCAGTGTATTTGTGTGGCATAATGTACAATTAGGGTCCGTTTTTAGCTTCATTTTGAAAAGTCTTTGGGGCGTCATATAGGTCCTGTGAATGAAGTTCAAATGTATTTGCTGATGATCTGGGTTTTTAGATGAGCAGAGCACAGAGTTCCATGTTTTTTTCCCAATCAAAATCCAGAGGTAAATTGGGAATATCATTTCTCCAGGTTGGGTCTTAGTTGTAAAGGGATGAAAGACTCTTCCAAAAGGTGATTGTATAGTTTGGAGATAATACCTTTTGATATACCAGATCTATCTACAAACTTTAAAAAAGGATGAACATGAAGAGAAGATTGCCATGGTACTCCATACGTTTTCATAGCAGTTCTCAACTGCAGGTAAAAAAAGAATGAGGAACGATGTATATTGAACCGGCTGCAGAGATCCTCAAATGAGAGGAGGCCCTTATTGTCGAACATATCACCCAAAGAGTGTATTCCCTTAGCATACCAGTGTTTATATTGCGTTTGCTTTATAGGACATTTGTTAATAAGAATAGATTCATTATTAAAAATTGGAGAATGTAAATTCCACTTCATTGTAATTCCACACGCTTTTTCAGCAGAACGCCAAACAGCGATACAGTGTGATAAAAGAGGACCAAAACATGTACAACACTTATTAGTGGGAACATTTGCAAATAATATTTCAGGAAGGTTTAGAGGATGAGCACGAGATTCATCTATTGGCCGCCAAGATACATCCAAGGAAGTGTCATACCAAGCTTCTAGAGGCCGAAGTACAAAGGCCCAGTGATATAATTTGAAATTCGGCAGTGACATGCCTCCTGCTGATCTATTGCGTTGAACTGTGGAGAACTTTAGGCGCGGCTTCTTCCCATTCCAAATAAATTTACTGACGGCTTTATGAAGCCTATTCCAAAAATGAGGTGGAGGTGGTAACGGAATCATGAAGCTAAGAAAATTTATTCGTGGCAGTATATTCATTTTAATTGCTGAAATACGCGAACGAAGGGAATTTGGCAATGCCGACCATCTTTCAAGATCACCTAAAATTTTGGATAGGCCACCTTCATAATTTGTTTTTACAATAGTATGTAAGGATGAACTACGGAAGCTTGTTAGGTTCAATTGTGAGTGTTTTTATTTTTATTTTGCTGGTATCATGTTATTTCATGATACTTTCATGAAATAACATGATACATATCATGTTATTTCATGATACACAACTATCATGTTATTTCATGATACACAACTATCATGTTATTTCATGATACACAACTACAGTATCATGTTATTTCATGATACACAACTATCATGTTATTTCATGATACACAACTATCATGTTATTTCATGATACACAACTATCATGTTATTTCATGATACACAACTATCATGTTATTTCATGATACCAATGTATCAGAAGCTGACAGCTTCTTCTTCTGTATCTACAGTATCATGTTATTTCATGATAAATTGGTATCATGAAATTTCATGATAAATTGGTATCATGAAATAACATGATACATTGGTATCATGAAATAACATGATAGTTGTGTATCATGAAATAACATGATAGTTGTGTATCATGAAATAACATGATAGTTGTGTATCATGAAATACAGTGCCTTGCGAAAGTATTCGGCCCCCTTGAACCTTTCAACATTTTGCCACATTTCAGGCTTAAAACATAAAGATATAAAAATTATATTTTTTGTCAAGAATCAACAACAAGTGGGACACAATCGTGAAGTGGAACAAAATTTATTGGATAATTTAAACTTTTTTAACAAATAAAAAACTGAAAAGTGGGGCGTGCAATATTATTCGGCCCCCTTGCGCTAATACTTTATAGCGCCACCTTTTTCTGCAATTACGGCTGCAAGTCGCTTGGGTCATGTCTCTATCAGTTTTGCACATAGAGAGACTGGAATTCTTGCCCATTCTTCCTTGCAAAACAGCTCGAGCTCAGTGAGGTTGGATGGAGAGCGTTTGTGAACAGCAGTCTTCAGCTCTTTCCACAGATTCTCGATTGGATTCAGGTCTGGACTTTGACTTGGCCATTCTAACACCTGGATACGTCTATTTGTGAACCATTCCATTGTAGATTTGACTTTATGTTTTGGATCATTGTCCTGTTGGAAGATAAATCTCCGTCGCAGTCTCAGGTCTTTTGCAGACTCCAACAGGTTTTCTTCCAGAATGGTCCTGTATTTGGCTCCATCCATCTTCCCATCAATTTTAGCCATCTTCCCTGTCCCTGCTGAAGAAAAGCAGGCCCAAACCATGATGCTGCCACCACCATGTTTGACAGTGGGGATGGTGTGTTCAGGGTGATGAGCTGTGTTGCTTTTACGCCAAACATATCGTTTTGCATTGTGGTCAAAAAGTTCGATTTTGGTTTCATCTGACCAGAGCACCTTCTTCCACATGTTTGGTGTGTCTCCCAGGTGGCTTGTGGCAAACTTTAAACGAGACTTTTATGGATATCTTTGAGAAATGGCTTTCTTCTTGCCACTCTTCCATAGAGGCCAGATTTGTGCAGTGCACGACTGATTGTTGTCCTATGGACAGACTCTCCCACCTCACCTGTAGTTATCTGCAGTTCATCCAGAGTGATCATGGGCCTCTTGGCTGCATCTCTGATCAGTCTTCTCCTTGTTTGAGATGAAAGTTTGGAGGGACGGCCAGGTCTTGGTAGATTTGCAGTGGTCTGATACTCCTTCCATTTCAATATAATTGTTTGCACAGTGCTCCTTGAGATGTTTAAAGCTTGGGAAATCTTTTTGTATCCAAATCCAGCTTTAAACTTCTCCACAACAGTATCTCGGACCTGCCTGGTGTGATCCTTTGTCTTCATGGTTCTCTCTGCGCTTTAAACAGAACCCTGAGACTATCAAAGAGCAGGTGCATTTATACGGAGACTTGATTACACACAGGTGCATTCTATTTATCATCATCAGTCATTTAGGACAACATTGGATCATTCAAAGATCCTCACTGAACTTCTGGAGTGAGTTTGCTGTACTGAAAGTAAAGGGGCCGAATAATATTGCACGCCCCACTTTTCAGTTTTTTATTTGTTAAAAAAGTTTAAATTATCCAATAAATTTCGTTCCACTTCACGATTGTGTCCCACTTGTTGTTGATTCATGACAAAAAAATTAAAATCTTATATCTTTATGTTTGAAGCCTGAAATGTGGCAAAATGTTGAAAGGTTCAAGGGGGCCGAATACTTTCGCAAGGCACTGTAACATGATACTGTAGTTGTGTATCATGAAATAACATGATAGTTGTGTATCATGAAATAACATGATACAGTAGTTGTGTATCATGAAATAACATGATATTTATCATGTTATTTCATGAAAGTATCATGAAATAACATGATACCAGAGGAAAAAAAAACACACTCACAAGTGAACCTAACAAGCTTCCGTAATGAACAGATCTCAACTCCAAGATACTTAAATTCTTTCACAACAGGGACAATGGTAGGCAAGGTGGAATTCCTCATTTTATCATTTAATGGCAAAAAGGCGGATTTATCCCAGTTAATTTTGTAGCCTGAAATGTTACTGAAAGAACTAAATATTGAAAGTATGTTGGGGATTGATTGAGCGTTTCCCAAATACAGGAGAACATCATCTGCATACAAAGAAATATGGTGTTTTGTGCCATTAAGTACAATAGGAGCAATATTATCAGATAAACGTATGGTTTGAGCCAGAGGCTCCAATGAAAGAGCAAATAGAAGTGGGCTTAAAGGACAGCCTTGTCTGGAGCCTCTGGCTACAGCAAAGGATGACGAGCACATTTTACCGGTTAGCACCATAGCTGAAGGGTCATTATATAGTATTTGGATCATTTTTATGAAATCAGGACCCAGACCAAAAGAGTGCAACAAAGACCAGATGTAGCACCATTCCAAACGGTCAAAAGCCTTCATCGCATCAAGCGAAAAAACACCACAGGGCTGTTGGGTTGTTGTAGCACCATGAATTATGTGAAGTAATCTCCTAAGATTGTCTGAGGCAGTGCGTGATTTAATGAAGCCTGTCTGAGCACAGTTGACCAATTTGGTCATAAAAGGTTGGAGCCTACGGGCCAACATTTTAGAAAAAAAATTCAAATCACAGTTGAGAAGAGACAGGGGCCTATAACTAGAGCACTCCTGTGGGTCCTTATCTTTTTTTAATAATAATGATATTAGAGCAGTGTTTACATCTCTTGAGAAGGATCCAACTTGTAAAGCAGCCTGAACCATATCAAGCATCAAAGGTCCAAGATGGTCCCAAAAGTTACGTACAGCTCTGGTGGTATACCATCTAAACCAGGGGACTTTCGTTTATGCATATCTGACACAGCCTCCTTTAGCTCAGTCAGAGTAATAGGTTGGTTGAGTTTACGCCGGTCTTCATCACTTAACCTAGGTAATTTGGCGTTTTCAAGAAAGTTATTACATGTTTGTTCATCATGCAGTACCTCAGAACTATACAATTTAGAATAAAAGGAAGAAAAGACAGAGTTAACACCTACAGTTTCCGCTAAAATTTGCCCACCATTGTCCCTGATGGATGAGATGTCGGAGAACTGCTCATCTGACCTAAGTCTAAGAGCAAGTAGATGACTTGGTCTTGCCCCATTAAAGTAGTAATTTTGCCTAGTTTTATGTATTAAGAATTCTGCTTGACGTTTGAGAATATCATTAATCTCTTTTTTAATCAAATCATGTTGAATGGCGATGTCATCATCATAACTTTGCTGTAATAGATTATCAAAAACTTTAAGTTTACTTTGTAAAATATGCAATCTAGCTGTTCTAGATCTTTTGACGTGACAGGCATAACGAATTGAATTATTACGGATAAAACCTTTAATAGCATCCCACAAGATTCTGGGGTCCGCGACAGAGCCTTTATTTATAGCCACAAACTCTTCTAGTTCAGCTATAAACTGCTGCCTAAAACCATCACTTTGCAGTAAAGTAGTATTAAAGCGCCAGCGAGGAGCACGTGGAGGAAGTGATGTTAAAGTGACACTAGCGATCACAGCCTTGTGGTCGGCTAGAGAGACTGGGTTGTGAAAAACTGCGGAAATGTTCTCAAAGCAGTTCATAGAAGTAAATAAATAATCAATTCTAGAGAATGATTTATGTCTAGCCGACCTATGAGTATAATCCCTAGTGCCAGGATTCATCATGCGCCAGAGATCCATCAACCCAGTATCAGTATACCACTGCTTAAGTGCCTCTGAAGCACGCTTCTGATCTAGATTTTGAGAAAGGCCTGTTCGGTCAAGAGAAAATTCTGCTACCGCGTTAAAATCTCCAGCCACCACAAATTTGAAATTGGGTAATTCAAGCATTATTTTGGTTAAACAATCAAAAAAGTCTTTATCATAAGTGTTAGGTGCATACACAGACATGAAAGCCACATTTGTCCTTTCAATATACAACTTTACCATGGCAATTCTTCCCTTATTATCAGACCAACAATCCAACAATCTAAACTGGAGGTTTCGACGGCAAATAATAGCTACACCCCTGGATTTATTGGAGAAAGAGGAAAATGCTATGACCTTATAAAATTTGTTTGTTAGTCGGTTTATGTCAGATTTCACCAAGTGGGTTTCTTGAACCATTGCAATCTGATTGCCATGACTACGAAAATAATCAAAATGGCCACTCATTTTTACTGGGTTGTTGAACCCCCCACATTCAGAGTCAGAATTTTCAAATTAGTAGTATTTGACATTTACTTGAAAAATAAAAAACATGTGAGCACAGATTATACACCATAAAAGCACTGCCCTGGACCTGGACAAAAAAAAACAACCTGAACAGGAAAAAATAGAACATTACAAAAATACAAACTGAAGATGAGGGGAAGACAAGGCTCAACCATATCAAACACTCCTATGGAGTAAAAAATAATACGCTCCCTATAGCTAGGCTGCTCAGAAAAATAAAAAAAAGGTCTCAAAACTACAAAAATGTCCCTCCCTGTCTGTCTTACATTGGCGAAGACGCAAAACATGTGACCTTAACACAAAAAAACAGTAAGATAAGATAATGGGTGGTTCTAAAATATCAAAAATAACATCACTGTCCAACATCGTAAGTTTGAATGTAGAATTCCCACACACAATGCCTCAAGAGTTAGAACATTTACCACCATACTTTGACCATTGAGTAATACCTCTAATTGTTCTCGTTGGTCACTGTACCCCCGAGGAAAGCCCTGGCTCGTTTGGGCTCCGTGAAAGACTTCTTCATCCCATTGATTTCAAACGACAAAACTGCTGGGAAAGCCATTCTGAATCGAACTTTTCTCTTGATGAGCTCCGTGCAGACGTCGTTGAAGCCTCTCCTGATAAGTCGCACCGCGGGTGGGATGTCAGGCACTATGCGCAGAGGGCGATCCTCGTACTGCAGGTCCCCCGCGCGTTTAGCTGCAGACAATACCGTGGTGACGTCTCTCGAGCGATGAAACTTGATGATGACTGGGCGAGGGCGGTCATCAGCAGCCGCAGGTGGACCAAACGTGCGGTGGGCACGGTCAATGGAGATGTCAGAGACGGATAAATGTAGAAGTTTCGGGATAAACTTTTCAAAAAATAATACGGGGTTAGACCCTTCCACAGATTCTCTCAGGTTCAAAATGCGTAGATTATCCCTCCTTGAGCGAGCCTGGAGATCCAAAACTTGCGAAGCTAGCTCTGAATTGGATTTAATCAGCTCATTCACTCTGGCCTGCAGCGGCGTCATGTCGTCCTCCAAAGCGGAGATGCGGCTCTCAGCCTCCGCCTGGCGAACCCCGATAGCGTCGCACGAAGCCGCCACTTCGTCAATGCGCTTGATAACATTGTTAATTTTACCATCAAGGGACAGCTCCAGCTTGGCGATTGACTGATCCATGGCTGTTTGAGAGCGCCTTGCCTCTGCCGCAATCGTTTCAGAGATGTGTTGTAGCAATGTCACGTTAACTGAAACTGTCAAAGATAATCATGAGTCTGAGCTCCTCCACATGTAGCCTGGATATATTGCCCTCTAAATTCTGAAGTCAGTCCTGAGCCAGTTTGTTACTTCACTGACACAAATAGTTAACAGGTCTCTGTCGTCAGGGAACATTTCTATGGCCCTAAAGCAGCAGTCATAAGACCTCTCTAAAAAGAGCAGTTGGATCCTGCGGGACTTCAAAATTATCGCCCCATATCGAATTGCCATTCATTGGAAAAATTCTTGAAAAAGTGGCCTCCCATCAACTTACTGAATTTTTAACTATGAATAATTCTTTTGAATGTTCCAGTCTGGTTTAGACCCCTACCACAGCACTGAGACCGCTCTTGTGAAGGTAACAAACGACATCGACCTTCACACTGAAGACGCAGGTATAGTCACAGTTTTGGTCATGTAGATCTTAGTGCGCGATCGACACTGTCGTCCATGAGATACTCATGCAGAGGACTGGAGGAATGGGTTGGTGTCACTGGCCACAGCCCTGTCTGGTTAGAGTCTTACCTGGAGGTCTAGGATGTTACTTTGTGGTGATTGAGACTGCGTTCTCAGGATCATGTGGCCCGGACCTGTGAGTACCACAGGGGTCGATCCTGGGACCTCTTACTATTTAATCTCTACATGCTGCCGTTAGGTCAGTTAATACAAGGAAATACAAAGTGTCCTACACAATTACGCCGTCGGTCCACTCTGATCTATGTCCTCTCTGACGGCAGGAGTACATGGACCACAGGATTGCTCATTCACTGTATTCAACATGATCAGTGAGTGGATGCAAATAAATTTCCTCCAGCTAAATGAAGACAAAACCGAAATCATTGTCTTTTGTCCCCAGAAACAAGACGAGGGCGTCTTCTGTCAATTCAGTCTATCTCCCTATTCCTTCAGACAAGGTCAGAAATTTGGGGGTATTACTGGAATCAGGATACATAATTTATTAGGCCACATAAAAATCATAACATCAACGGCTTTTTTCCATCTGCTTAAAGAACATTGCCAAAGTCATAAAATATAGTGTCCAGGGCAGAACTTGGAGATCTTGTCACGCATTTGTCTCCAGGCAGGCTAGACTACTGCAATGGCCTGCGTACAGGTCTGTCCAAAACAGACCTGTAAGCGATCTGGCAGTCATCCCAAAATGCAGAAGCTTGGAGTCCTGACAGGGTTACCAGGAAGTTTGACCATATTAGTCCGGTCTAAGTCTCTGCACTGGCTTCCTGTGGCTCAAAGAATAGATTTTAAAACAGCTCTGATTGTGTTCAAGTCTCTCCATTGGCCTTGACAGAATACTTAGTGACATGTTGGTGTCATATGTCCAGCCCGGTCTCTGAGGAGCACAGGGACTGGCTCCTGCTGGTGCCATGCGAGTGAGATCCAAACATGGTGGAGGCTGGCGTTTCAGTCTATGCAGCTAAGCTCTGGAACCAATCTCTGAAAATGTGAGGGAGGCGTCGATCTCGGTCAATGTTCAAATCCAGGTTAAAGACTGTTCTGTTTGCGGTGCATACAAACTGAGATTTTATCTCCATTTGTAAGGCACTGCTGTCATTTATTTATTATTTTTTTAAATTTCTTGTGTATCTGTGAATAGTGTTAATGGTTTTATTCTTTTGTGTGATTTTATTGTTTTTATTTGTGGTTTATCTTTTGTGTGATTTTAATGTTTTAATTGTGATTCTGGTGTTTGTTTTATGTGGCTGATTTGTGATGTGGACTGTGAAGCGCGTTGTGTTGCCCTGTGCTTGAAAGGCGGCTCTTACAAATAAACTTTGAGTGATTGATTGATTCATATTTGTCTGCATCAACAATAAAAGATCTTAAAATTAAATAGCTTATAGCATGATAGAAGAAGTATGCTATAAGGTATATATCTTTAGCATAATACAGATAAATATAATTTCATTTTGCCATTATAAAGAAGCATGAATCCTGTATAATCTAGAGAAGACATATACATTGTATGTTTACATCTGGACTTAGCAGCATGAGGGCCTGGATACTGTAAGTACAGAGATAGAAGGAAAATTTGAACTGGTTAAACACTATTACATTGTCGTAAATCTAACGGCATATAATTCATTTTCAACTCAATGTGTAGCTGAACTATAGAAATGTGAAAATACTATAGATAGTACTCACATCAACAATAATTAGGCTAATAATTATTAGCTAGCGCTGGGATATACTACTACACCAGACGTAAACAAACTGATTCTACTGGATACAGTAGATTACAGTGATACTGATTGATTGTACAACGCAGTGAAAGTGTTTTCTTTTCAATATTGATCAAACAGTGAGTCTACGTAGCAGCAGCAAAGTAACTATGACACGGAGGTAAACAATCATAAACTGCGCACTACACACTCGAGATTAAATACAGACGTGTGGGAACGATCTACGCACACTATGAGAGATTTATGGAGTGAAACAATATGAACGACCCACAAAAACATTGTGTTTATCAGAGGAGACTTCGTGTGCGTATGTAATCCAGAATGAAATGGTGAAAGCGGCTCTCTCTGTTTAGAGCAGCGCCACAAAGTTTTCCCCTTAGTACTTGGAGGGTGGACCGCCTGGGAATACCAGGTGCTGTAGCATTTTGCCTTGGAGCTCGGCCTGGGGGCGAGCTCAACAACAGCTGCGAGTTGTTGTCGTGTCGTTGGAGTTGGAGTTGAGTGCAGCTTGAAGTTGTTTACGTCTCTCACACTCATCTATTTCCGGGTTGCATTTCAATCAAAATTATGGAAGTTGTTTTTGTATGGTTTGTTTTACTCTTGCATAGCTAAAGAAATGGTGAATATTTCATTTAGAATGTTTGATTTTCCATTTAATTTTGAAATTGGGAAATACAATATAACAACCACGTAATTTGTTTTTCTGATTTTGTTTTGAAACGGAAGAACTAATGATTGAAGGATACACGGATTGTTCACGGATTATAAGGATTTGGATTTTCCAATTTGAATTAGAAAGGAAAATAAACAATAAAGAATGGAAAATTTGTTTTTTGATTTATTATGAACAAGGAATAACTGTTGAATTGAAGGGGTACACGGATTATTCAGAATACTATATTGTATTGATTAGCAATAACAAAAATTAAACTACACATGTTTACATATAGCTACCATTTATTAGGGATTCTAAAAAGCCAAAGGAGGAGCAGATCATATGCAAACTTTTGCATTAACTTGCATTTAAGGCATTTTAAGCGTCCTGCACATACGCACGGCTCATTCCACTCAGCGCTCTTTAGTATTAGATCCGTGTTTTCTTCCAGCGCCCCTTGTGTGGCGTAGTGGGAGTGTCCAAGTCTTTCGCTTGGGAAGAATCACGGGTTCGAGCCCCGGACAATCCTCAAATTTTTTTATTAGCGGGGGGTGTTTATGAAAATCCAGATTACCTCTGTTACTGAATAAAGTTGCATTTTTTCCTGCAGTTTGGTTGGTGCAGATTTTTGAAGTTTACAACAGTTTTATACAGTCTAGCAACTATTTTTAAATATGTTGGCCTAATTACTAAGGTTGTTTTAGAAAAAATTTTAAACGTCAACAAAATCAAAAGGGTCGTAGACTGTACTTGAACACGAGTCCTCTTCACACCAGAGTCCACCTCTTTATCATTGAGCTATAAAGCCACAGAAAGTTGTCCGGTGAACAGAGAACAAAGACCGATTGAGAAGCAATTTTCCTAACCCTGCTCACAAGTGCCACCTGGTGGTTGTTTCGGGTCATTGCAGCATCAATGGGGAAAAATAAAGAAAAGAAGCGTGAAGCACACTGGTCTCGTGTGATTCACGCGTGAAATGACGACAAATCGAAGTGGGACTACTGTAAGCACAGAACGCAAATCCTATAATGCAGATTGTTTATAAAGTAGGAAAGGAGGAGAGGATAGTGCTAAAAATACCATACTTTTCCAGCAGACTTACTCCCCCTACGCAGCTTGACTGGACAGTCAAAAATGTCTAGCCTTCCCTGAGCTTACCTTCCTATCCATATGATAAACTAAAGACGACTGTTTTAAGACTTACCTTGAATGTGGTAGACACGTGTTCCGAACGAAGGAGTAACAGCAGCTGCCGGGCTAGGATAGCCCAGGCTACAGCACCAATATTTGTGGATTACAACCAAGTGTGTAAACCAAACCAGACTAAACAACCTAACCATAGGCAAAAAAATTGTTGCTTAAAGTGGCAAAAGGGAGGTTTTTAAGTCTGGCACTTGAATGTGGAGACCGTCTCTGCTTCCTTATTCCACAGTAAAGGGGCTTGGTAGCTAATGTCTTGCTGATGACAGTACTTTTTGAGACTTAGGAACCTACAGACTTGCTCTGGCGTTTTGTGAGCACAGTGCTCGGTTTGGTTGATATAGAACTAACGTGTCTTGAAGATAAGAACGAGCCAGGCTCATTCATGGCTTTGTATACTAAAGGAAGGATTTCCGTGTCACTTCTAGAATGGATATTCGTGATTTTAGCGATGTTCGCAAGTCGGAAAAAGCTGTTTTGTTGCTTGGCTTATATAAGCCCTTGAAGGAGTGTGCACAGTCGAATTCCAACTCCAGAATAAGGCGATGATTTGTGATTCAAATTGACAAAGTGATACCGATCGATAGATAGGATTTAAAACCAGCCAAGGGCTGTTCCTCTGAGACCTATATCACATTTCTAGCCTCGCAGTAGAATTCTGTGGTCTCTTGTGTTAAATGGAGCACTGGGGTCCAGTAGGACCATACACTGACACTTGTCACTATTAGCAGCTAGCTAGTATGTCTTTTTTTACTTTGACTAGTGCTCGTTTCAAGTGCTATGATGAGCTCTGAATTCCCAATTTGGAAAGGTTTCAAACATATTATTTTCCTGACGGTGGAAGCAAGACTGTTTTGGCTCTAAGGTTT